TATATATATATATATGTATATATATATATATATATATAACCTAGTTTTCTATGGATAACAACAGTCTTCAACTTTCAATTTTAGAACATACACTTTCCCTTAGTTTGTTAACTTCCAATGCACAAAATGCAGAAATTAACACTCAGAGATAATTATTTTCATTTCAATTTCTTAGTAAAACTGTTTATTATTAATTGATTTAGCTCAATTATGATGGTTCATTATAATAAACAAACTAAAATACCAAAAGTTTGTTTTTAAGTATATGAAAAAGGAGAAATTTAATTAAAATTTTTAAAAATAACTAGTCAATAAATTACCTTTATCAACAAATGCTCATTTGAATACTGATTATATTCATAAAATCTTTATTTAAAAAAAAACAAATTTTCAAATGTTTAAAAAGGATCAATGTAAAATACTTTAAAAAACATGTCAGACAAACATACCGTAATTTATGGAAGAAACGCCGCACCTATCGTAAACGCCGCACTTGTGATAATGAGACTTAAAAGGAAAAAAATCATGGTAAACGCCGCACACNAAACAAATTTTCAAATGTTTAAAAAGGATCAATGTAAAATACTTTAAAAAACATGTCAGACAAACATACTTTAAAATAAACACATATCAGTAATTAATAAAAGAATTTGTACAAGAAGAATTAAAAAGTAATTTAAAAAAAAAAAAAAAAATAGTTTTATCATACTCATTTACTTTATTTATAACCATCAATGAACAGCCGACACAATTTTGAGCTTAAGACTACCAGTGTTCAATTCCATAGCGTTGTAATTTTAAACCTAATCCAGAAGACAAGGGAATTTCTGTATCAAGTATTGGGAGAAATTTGCTTTTATGGAGGACTCTTTGATAGAACTAACCTGCATTTGCGTAACATGGAGAGGAAAACCACGAAAAGCTCCAAATGTTAACCTGATGGCGAGGGGACTGTAGCCCATGATCCGTCGTCTAATCTAAAAGTCATCGCTTGGATTCGAACCTGGGTTATCTCACTGAGAGTCAAGTGCTTTATCCCCAGAACCCCTACGGCTCTGCATTAGTTTATTTGTCATAAATGTATTAAAAATAGTGAGCAAACTGACTTGACTAGTGTCCATTGCCAGGCAACATGCTGTTTGGGGCTCATGGGAACCACTGGTCTAAATGGTTAAGAAAAGTCAGTCAAATTTTTTAGCAATATCTTTTTTATAAGGATTAAACATTAACTGAAAATATATGCTAAAAATAATAAGATATAAACATTGATTCCTAAATGTTAAAAATTAACAGCAATGTACAACTGAAATGTTTTAAAAACACTGAGATAGAAATAAAACTTTGAAACATTTACCTGTCTCTTCTTAGTTTAACTGCTTTTACATCAGATGTAAAATCAAGTTCTATTACTTGTCTTTCTTGTGAATCATCCCAAACCATGACTAGAAAAATGAGTTACAAAAAATTTATAATAATTTCAAAAGATTTATTTATTTTAAATGAATTTTAGTTGAAAAGCAATTTAAATTTCAGAATAATTATAAAGTTCAACAGTTGTACTCAACCATTAGTAATGCCTAACTTATAAATGACCATGATCAACCATTAGTAATGCTTAACTTATAAATGACCATTATCAACAATTAATAATGCTTAACTACGAAACAAATTGGCGTATGCATGCATCTCTTGAGTCAAATAAAATTAAATTTACTGTTCAATTTAAAATTAGATTTCAATTAAACAGTACCTGCTTTAAGACAAATTTCAAAATTTAACCTTTCATAGCAAAATTTCAATAAAAAATATACAGCAGAAGAAAAATAATATTATACTTTTAAATAATAGATTTCACTTAAAAACCAGCATTCGAGAATATCAATACAATAATGAAGGGTCTTAATACTTCACATAGAAATTAACCAACAATGAAAAAAAAAATACTCTCAAAATTTGTTGGATGGTTTACTAGTAAATTATAACACATTTTGAAGTCGTAACATCAAACAGTCTTAAGTATTTTTTTCTTTAAATAGTTTAAATGTGAAAAAAAGAGAGTAACACTAAAGTTATACATTGTACAACAAGAGTTAAACTTGACAACAGATGTTTAACAAACAATTTCAAGTTAAAAATGTTTATATGTTTAATGTTTGTTTCAAATCAAAAATTTAATAATATCAAGACTAGACCTACCTTTATTAGGTGGATATTTAGGCTTTTTTCCACCACCTACAAGAGCTAAGTAATTGCACCTAAAAAGCATCTCAACATAACCTATTCCACCATCGGAGAAGTCTAGAAATTTATAAAATTTTCAACAAAAAAAATAAAAATTGTATACATAATAAGTGATGATTATAATTTAAAAAAAAAATTAGATATAAAACATCAAATAGAAATATTTTTTCTTTAAAAAATAGATGTTTTTATACCCCGCTTCTCTTTTTCCTTCAGTGGATCACAATTATAGACACGGAATCCATTTTCCATTCCACAAGCAAAACATCCTTTAAAATAAAATAAACATGAAGAATTTTTTATATAATTGTTACATAATAAAAACAGCATAAACAAATAATTTTAGCGGTTATGATATCCTCAACGAAGTTACTTCAAAAAGTAATTAATGTGAAAAGCTAATCAAAAACTTATTAAACTTCCCAAATTAAGAAAATTTTAAATAGAGTTTCTAATTTTCTTAGTTGGGACCTATTCTGTTAAGTTATTTTGAGGTCCCTGTTCCAGAATTTTTTCCGGCTTTTTCGACATACCTCTCTAATACTAATATCTTTCAGCAAGATACTTTTAAAAATAACAAATATACATGTTACTAAATTAAAGTAACAAAAGCGTCAACTTCAAAATAACTTTTCGGATCGAATAAAATAATTTTTTAATTAAATATGTAATAATTTTTTTAATTCTAATATCATGGGCGATATTCTCGCATTTTGTAGGAGGAAAACACACTGATTATTTCCTTTTTCGCATTTTGTAAATAATTATCATATTAAAAAAAAAACTTGAAATCTGTAGCAGTAACTATAAAAAAAAGAAGATAAACGACGAAATCACGCAAATTGGACTCTTCAAAAAAAGGTTACTAAATATGTGCTTTTATTTCGAGATTCAACTGTTGTCATAAATAATATTGCATTAAAAATATCGGATTTTATAAATTTTTTGAAATCAATAGTAATATCTGCATAAAAAAATTATCATGAAATATTCTGCAGAAAAGAAAAACAAGTTTTTTACTTCAATATTCTTTACTTTTCATTATTCTCAAATGAGAATAGTAAAAACACACAAATTTTTTTTCCACTTGGATACGCGAGAAAGGCATCTAAAAATATGATAAAGTATAAAGTTATTTCTAAAATTTCTGCAGAAATTTTTTTTTTTTTACTTCCCGAAAGAAAAATCTTTTTGCAAGAACTTGGCAAAGTTCTGCGACAATGTCGCCACGACTCTGCCACGGGGATGGAGGTGAACAGTATATAATGTCTGATACGCTATATGAAAGGCCATCATACTACCAAATTGTTCAAGACAGCTTCAATTGGTATAAAGACTGCTATTTCATTGTAAGCAATAAGATATTTCTGTGTATTTATAAAATTTCAGAAATTTGATAAATTTATCTGCTTAAATTTCATTCCATTAATCTTGCAACTATTTTAATGTTCAAGTTCAAAGGTGTTAAGTTTGACAAGTGTAGGTACATGAATTCTGGTAAAATGTTTATTGTCTCAGTCTAATAAATTTTTGTTTGAAATGTCGAATAAATTAATTGCAGGTTTTATATCTAAATACAAAAATGATAAGATTTTGTACTTTTATTTTATATAGTTCCTAAATTGAATGTGACAATCTTTTCAGCTATTCCATGTATTTATTCTTTGAATAAATAATTGCTTTATTTTTCTGTTTTAAAAATATTGTTTATAAGTTTTCAAAATTCTTGCTTCTGAAAGTCATATAAATTTTAAAGCTTGTGTCAAGAAATAGAACTTAATAAACATGGCAACTAAATTGCAATAGAATATCATTCCATTAATAAAAAAATAGTTCCGAATATTAAGAGCTTGGTAATTACTATTTAGAGCTTAGTCCAATGTTGTGATAAGTCACATTTATTACATATGACATTTTTATACCAAACTGTTTATTAATATTTCAAAATAAGTTCTTACATATAAAAACAAAAGAAATTCAAATAACAAAATTTTAAATAAAATTCTTGTACATGTCTAATCAAATGTTTTCTTTTAAGATGGTGAAATTGATAATTTTTACGTTTATATTTTAAAAAAAATTTCTTTTTTTAAAAACCAAATTTAATATCCAGTAAGCATCAATGCTGAATTGGTATATTTTTTTAAGCAATGTAATGCTTAATTTTAAATAATAACCTTTTAAAATAAATGATATATGGATGAATATGAGCTGAAAATGTTTATTTTAAATTAACTATTTTATTAAAAAAAAAAGATTAGATCGTCCCTATTTTAAGTGTCTTCATAATAGATAGAATTATTTTTACTAATGGTATACATAGTTTAAAGGGTTATTATAATATAAATAATATTTTTCTTGTTGCGATATTGTACTAATAAATAATTTTACTATACAGAAATACATTGCAACAAGTAAAATTAAAATTGTTCATAAAAAATATCAAAACTGCCTTACTCAAATAATAAACTAATGAGTTTTTAAAAATACTCAATGAATCAGAAAATGTCATTAAGACGCTAATGAACAAATTAGAACACTTTGTTATTAGATTTAGCACCTAACTGCGAACTTTAGTTTATTGTCAAAAACATATAAACAATTTCATTTTATTAAGAAAGCTATCAAAGTTACCTTGGTCTTGATTAAATCCAGCAAACAGCAACGAATTGCCGTAAGGATTATTAGGTCCTAAATTCATCATGAGATAAATAAACTATTTGTTTTGATTTGGTCTGTAATGACAAGAAACACATCCACCATCACATCCCCCTTTCTTCTTCCTACTACTCTCGTAACCAGTTTTAGTTCGAAAAGTTCAAACGATTTTATTCTATTCCACCTTTCACTGATTGTATTTTAAAAAAATTTTATGCCATAAGAAAATTTGTACTTATATATTTATGAATAATTTACCTATAGTTTTGAGCAAAGAAAATGATTTAGTGAAAAAATATTGACAATATTTTATTTTGATACAACTCAACTTCATAATAATTGGGATCATTGCCATAGCAACCAAGTTACGCCATCTCTTTTTTGTTAAGTTTTGTTTTCAACGAGTAAGAAGGGGTTCAAAAGTCTCAAGACATTTTATTATGATTCGAGATAAATAAGCTTACAAATATTTATTTAAATATTATTTTAGAGAAGAGAATTTAAAAATATAAGCATTTTTTTCATAAATATTATTTACAATTGAAATAAAATACGTAAAATGTGAAAAATTTTAAATGTAAAATACATACACAATGCAAAGTACAACGCGAAAAGGTACTTAGAGACCTACTTTTTTAATTTTCATATTCGTTATTAGGTACTTAAACTAAAGTTTTGCTTTTTTTTTCTTGTTGTTAAGAAGCAATTGGTTTTTGTTTCATATTCATTGACAGGTGAGATTTGGAGAATTTTTACTAAATCGAATTTTGTGATTCAATTTTCTTCAGACTAAATACTTAATAAAAATGGAATAAATAATTTCGTCTCCAGAAATAGAAAGTTTTCTTTCTTGGGGCTTTTTTTTTTAACTGTAAAATTTAGTAGCACAGATGTAAAACACCTTCTCATAAAATTGTAATTCTTCTCATGTAAATTTTTTTAACGATTAAATTATTCATATGAAACAAAACAGTTTGAAAATGATTTTATAAAAGAGTTTTGAGCATCTCACAACTTTTAAGAAATAGTTTTTTTTTTATTTATTGCTTGTTTGTCTAAATAATTAGGCATCTTTTACAGCAGCACCTATTGCTACCTATTTAACTCAATGACAGTTGAACCTACTGCACAATTAATAAAGCAACACTGGCTTCAAAAATGTAAATGTAATTTTTTTCAGCCATCAGAGATTTCATTGCGTGGAGATTTTGAAAACTATCTCTACTTTTGCATAATCCGTATGCAGAAAAAAAAAATTAAAAACGAAAAAAAAAAAAAAAACTTCTATTGAATCAAATAAAAAATCTAATATATAACTCTTAACAGGTTTGTTATTGACTTGAAAAAATAAAAATATTTTAAAAGCTGTCTCATTAAAGTTCTGCGATTCTTTTCCGCTATAATTCTAGCGGAAAAGAATTCCGCTATAATTCTAGCTCTCCGCTATAATTAATATATATATACTATATAGTATATAATATATAGTATATATATATACTATATTTCTCGCGGGTGCCGGTAATATATTTCTGTAGTTATACGTAATTTTCCATTCAAAATATTTGATAAATTAGTTTCTAGAGGTAAATTTGTCTATGAAAATTTCTTATTGGTTTAAAAATCTATGTTAATCTGGTTAAAAATATTTTGGTTTTCAACGAGCCTCATTCTGTATTATTCAGCAATAGATAAAGACGCTCTACATCAACAGTGAACCAATAAATAAATATCGGATAAAGCAATCCAAATAAAACCAGATAAAGCGATGATAAACCACACTAGCAGCAAAATAACTTGGGCCAATATTCATGAATCTTGGCTCAGTAAGGGTTCAAAGGGCCTTTATTTTTCCGATATTGGCCCTATGTAGAATTTTCCGATTCACACGATATTTTACAGCCACTTTACAATCAATATTGTTCCTATATAGAATTGCCAGGTTCACCCGATATTTTAAATCCATTATTTAGCCAATGTAGGTTCTATATTGGCCAATGTGTGCCCTATATAGGCCATTCTGGGACGAATATTACGAAATCTAGACAAATATTGGTCCCTCGGTGCATGTTCTTATAGGACCTATATCGAGATAATTTTGAAGCCGACTGGGGTAAAATTGCCGCTAGGGCAGATAAAGAGAAGACAAAACTACTATTGAAATCTCAGAAATCGAGGGCGTTCCTTACAAAATACCTCTATATAGAGCAGCTCAGAAGGAAGGCTCCTCTTCCAAAGAAGTTATCTAGGCTCGAATCCTCGCGATGGCTGTTCGATACGAATTCTGCTCTCGGCTCGCACCGACCACAGTACTAACGTCAGAGATCCTTAGTGGTTGACAAATCATTGATTAGAACCTCCTTCCTAGATTCGGAGTAAAGATTAGAGGTTTTTGTGGTTTTCCTCTCTCTGTAACGCCGATGCGAGTTAGTTCCTTTGAAAAGTGCACCACAAAATCTAATTTGTCACATTGCTTTGATCCAAGAGTTTCCTTGTCCTCTGAGTTATTACGAGTTCTACTTTAAAGTAATTTCAGTAAAAAACAAAATTCAAACGCAACTTAATTGGTGAAAATCTTATGCTGGTCCATTAGTGGACGCAAAGAGAATGTCCCCGATGTACTTCATTTTATTTATTTATTTATGTATATATTTTTTGACAGTCAAATTAAATTTAGCTTTAAACGCTTAGCAAAATCATAAATATTTTATAATTTTCTGAAATTTATTNAAATCTACTTCTTATTTTAATTTGTAATTCAATACTTTTGTTTTGTACAACTTGGTAAAAATGTGACGGTAATATTTAATGTTTCTTCAAACATTAAAGAGTCCTACATAAAATTTTGATAAAGTTGCGGCCCGCCATTTGAATTGTGTTTTTAATTGTGGCCCCCGGTCTCATGTAAGTTGGAAACCCCTGGTCGAAATAATTAGGCATCTCTTACAACAGCACCTATTTAACACAATGACAGTAGAGCCTACTGCAGGATTAATAAAGCAACACATGCTTCAAAAATATACATTTCATTGACTTTTTCAGTCATCAGAAATTTCATAGCGAAGAGATTTCATAGCTACTTTTGCCTAATCCGCGCAAGAAAAAAAAAACTTCTATTGAATTCAATAAGAAATAAAATATATAACAAGTCTATAACAAACTCTTAACAGGTTTGTTATAGACTTGAAAATATAAAAATATTTTAAAAGCTGTCTCATTAAAGTTCTGTTATTCCTTTTTGCTTTCATTCTAGAACTTTATTTCGTTGGTTTTAGCATCTAATTATATTTTTTTTTTAATTTGCAACTATTTTTTAGGCAGGATTTGGTGGCTTTTTTCCATCAATTTTCAAAAGCTTTCCAAATCGTTCAAATATGCTATTTTAGTTTACAATATCAATCGTAATCTGTAGATATAGGCACAGGAAAACTTCGTACCCGAACAAATTTTTGAATGAAAAAGTATGTAGATTGGAGTCGTAAGAATGTTTGGAATGTTAACTGGAAAACTATTTCAGATACTTCCTACTGTATTTCACGCGGGTGCAGGTAATATATTTCTGTAGTTATACGTTATTTTCCATTCAAAATATTTGATACGTTTGTTTCTAGAGGTGAATTTGTCATACGAAAATTTTTTATTGGCTTAAAAATTTATGTTAATCTGGTTAAAAATATTCTGGTTTTCAGCGAGCGTCATTCTGTATTATTCAGCAATAGATAAAGACGCTCTATATCAGCAGTGAAGTAATAAATAAATATAGGATAAAGCAATCCAGATAAAACCAGATAAAGCGAGGATAAACCACACTAGCAGCAAAATAACTTGGGCCCTCATTGGGCCAATCAATATTCATGAATCTTGGCTCAGTAAGGGTTCAAAAGGCCTTTTTTTTCCTATATTGGCCCTATGTAGAATTTTCCGATTCACTCGATATTTTACAGCCACTTTACAATCAATATTGGTCCTATATAGAATTGTCAGGTTCACCCGATATTTTAAATCCATTATTTAGCCAATGTAGATTCCATATTGGCCAATGTGTGCCCTATATAGGCCATTCTGGGACCAATTTTACAAAATCTAGACGTTCCATTATTGGTCCCTCGGTGCATGTTCTAATAGGACCTATATCGAGCCAATTTTGAAGCCAACTGGGGTAAAATTGCTGCTAGGGCAGATAAAGAGAAGACAAAATTGCTATTGAAATCTCAGAAATTGAGGGCGTTCCTTACAAAATACCTCTATATAGAGTGGCTCAAGAGGTAGGCTCCTCTCCCAAAGAAATTATCTAGGCTCGAATCCTCGCGATGGCTGTTCGATACGAATTCTGCTCTCGGCTCGCACCGACCAGACAGTACTAACGTTAAATGTCCTTAATGGTTGACAAATCATTGATTAGAACCTCCTTCCTAGATTCGGAGTAAAGATTAGAGGTTTTTGTGGTTTTCCTCTCTCTGTAACGCCGATGCGAGTTAGTTCCTTTGAAAAGTCCACCACAAAATCTAATTTGTCACATTGCTTTGATCCAAGAGTTTCCTTGTCTTCTGAGTTATTACGAGTTCTACTTTAAAGTAATTTCAGAAAAAAAACAAAATTCAAACGCAACTTAATTGGTGAAAATCTTATGCTAGTCCATTAGTGGACGCAAAGAGAATGTCCCCGATGTACTTCATTTTATTTATTTATTTATGTATATATTTTTTGACAGTCAAATTAAATTTAGCTTTAAACGCTTAGCAAAATCATAAATATTTTATAATTTTCTGAAATTTATTGAAACAAATATTCACTGTCACAAAAGGTATACAAAGAATATTGAGTGAAAAGATTTGTACAAAATAAATGAGCTCAATATTTATTCGAAACCATTATTTACAAGTTTTTTGTCTCAATATTCTACTTAAAAAAAAGATTTAACACGAGGGTAAATAGAATTCTGCAGCAAAATTCCTCTTTTTAAAGTAGTTAAAAAGTGATTACTGTTTGAAAATAATTTGTAATCACTACATTTTTTAAAAAAACGTTGAAGTTATCTACATTTAATAATGTAGTTGTAATTCAAACATAAAAATGTAGTTTTAAAATGTAGTTCACAAAATAATACTTGCTAAAAAAATTTTTTTTACAGAAATACGCTGTACTTGCAAAGTATACCTACGCAGTACTTATTCAGAAATTTTTTTTTTCTTGATGAAAATTACAATTCAGTTGATTTTTTACAACTTCCTCAAATAGCGACATATAAACGAAAAATCTTTTTTATCCGAAGACACGCTTCGAAAGCACTTCTAAAAAGATCCATCTCGTAGAACGATACGGCCTAACTGAATAGAAAGGCGCAAGTATCCATTCAATACCATTTGTGTTGAGATAAACAATGAAAAACGCCCTAAAAGCCTTTAAATGAGAAAAGCCCTTTTTTTAAAGGTTTTTTCTTCCCCTCTAGTTTATTATTCTTTTCTTAAACTCCCACTCTGGTAGGTAAAGTTGCATAAGCTTGTCGTTAGATTGTAAACCTACGGATTAGTCAGCTTATTCTGAGTAGTGCAGGTCTAAAGAAAAAAAGAAACAATTCTTGTTTTCATTTGTCAAGAAGTGATAATTCTATGTAATTCCGAATGTAAATTTTCTTTTAGAGTGTTTTCGAATTCTATTCGTCGAGTGAGTAAGTAATATGTTTTTTTTATATCTTAAACAAACTTTTTTGTAAGAGGGCCGCAGAAAAATAATATATTTTTAATTCAATTAATAATAACCTAATCGTACCTTAGAGTTATAAGAAAATGTTTTCCTTCTTTTAATTAAAGTAAAAGAATAAGTGTATGTATAATATTTTTGAATTCGAAAACATTTGAAATTTTGTTCACTTTGCATTTCTAAAAATAAATAAGATTAAATTACAGCAGGTTTTCTTTCTTTGTTTTTATTTATTTATTTTTACTGTAATTAAATTACATACATGTTTAATCTTTAAATAAACCTGTGAGCTACATTTATTTCAAATCTATTTAAGTAAAAGAAAATTCTCTTTAAAAAAAACATTCGATTACATAAATTGTAAATATTAAAAATTCGAAAGATTTAAATGTTTTGAAGCTTTCAATTAAAAGCTCTGCATTTTAGAATTTTTAGGTTATAATTTCAAGATTTTTATTTTTTCAAAGTTGATAAGCCTTACTTTGTAATACGCACACAAGATCGCATATATATGTGTAGCAATAAAATAAGTTAATTGAAATAAGTTTCAGAAAGAGTTATAAAATTTCTTCTGCAAGTAATATAGATTTTCCCTAATAATTTAGTTGGAAGGCACAGTACCGCAAGTTGACTGCTCAACGACTGTATTTGGCCACCGGGCTGCAAGTTGTGTGATAGAAAAAAATTAAATTAGCTTATCATTTGATGTTTAAGGCTATTATTATTATCATTTTGGTGGGAAAGTAGGAGGTACTTTCAAAATTTTACCTACTGCAAGGTGTTTGCCAAAAACTACTGTGCTTATAAATAACCAATTTTTTGTGTTGTTTCTAATGACATTTAAACAAGCCCAGCTTGCCAGCGATTGGCCTTTTGAGAATTAAGTTAGAAAGATGCCTCTAGAGTAAAGTTAGAAAGGTGTGTCTCTCGTTTGACAAGAGAGCACCGCTAGTGTGAAAGTACGTATTAACTTAGAACCCCACTAATAGATAGCAGAAACACTCATTCATGAGGTCACTTACTCAGTTTCAAAAATCCAAAGGAGAAAGAAATTTTATCCAGATATCTGTACTCAGTGATAGTGATCGACCACAATAGTTTGGATTCCACAATAGTTTAGAACCAGAGTTCGATTCTCTAACCACTGGGATATCACAGCCCATAAAATTCTGTGTTTATAACCAGAAATAAACTCGATGAGAAATTATCCAATGAACGAACGCATAACGCACAAGAAAAAATAGTTTCTCAGTGCCTCTCTTCTTGACCCTACTCCAACCTTTACCATTACTCACATTTTTGTGGAAAATACCCTTCATTGCTTCATTTATTTTATTTTACAAAGTTATGAGCAGATAGCCGCACAAATCATAGGAAAAAAAAGCTTCTCACCGACAATTCAAAATGAATTAATGAAGTTGATAAGAAGTATAATGGGTTAAACATACAATCCCTAAACTCGGCTCAGCCCCGGTTATAAAATAAAGTGGGGAAATTGGGAGCAGCGATTGCTTAAGGCGCTTGTCTCTCACCAAGGTGGCCCTGGTTCAAAATCCCGGGATAACTGATTTATTCGATTTCTGGATCGCAGCGACCACAGTTTTGAAATAAATTATCTCCAGTGACAGGCGGATCATGGGTTAGAATTCTCTTGCTGTCGGGTTAACCGTGAGAGGTTTCCGTGACTTTTCTCTTCTTGTAATGCAACTGTGAGTTCGTTTCACCAATAAACCCTCCACAAAGGCTATAGGTAGATACAAGAATGCCCTTGTCTTCTGAGGCGGGTAAAAAATTACAAGGTCACTCTAGTTAAACATTGATGGCATTGCCGTAAACACAAAAACTAGGACGGTTGATCAACTTTGGTAAGAATAAATGTTAACGTTGCTAATTATAATAAAAATTTTAAAAATTATTTCATTATAATATTAAACTTGAAATATCAAACTTAAAATTAATATTTTTTCACTTAAAACATTCTGAGTCTTTTTTTTTCGCTAATGGTTGTAAAGTAATATATCTGCAGATTTAAATAACATTCGAGCAAAATTTTCTAGTAGTAAGAAAATAACAATTAAAACTGATTAAATGATTGTAAATAAAAATGATTGAAATAAAAATAAAATGATTTTTTATTATTATATTTAATAATAGCTGAAAACTTTTGCTTTGCAAGACCAGCAAATTTTTATATAATTTTAAGCTATACTATAAGCTTTAAATGACAAAATCATGTAATTTTAATGACGATGATAGTTGATGAGAAATTTGAACAACTTTGGTTATAATATAAATGTTACTGTGAATGACCAAAATTAGTGGTTGTTGACTTCCACCAGTGAATGATGACAATCACATAGTCGCTTTGGTAAATGTCCGAAATATATACTACTAGGTCTAGTTAAGTGCAATTGCCCGGTATGACCTACATCAAATTTTTTTAAGGTTCAGTGCCACTGCCCGGTATACATCTAACCGGTACTTTTAACACTGATGTTTCTCCTAATCTATCCTCAGCAAATATTAACATATTGAATAAATATAATAATATCAAAGAATAAATTAATATCCAATCGGATATAGCAAATATTTCGGACATTCACCAAAGCGACTATGTGATTGTTGACATTCACTGGTGAAAGTCGGCATTCTCTTGATTTCTGTCATTCACAATAACATAAATAATACAGAAAATACGTTTTTAATTTAAAATTTAAACTACACAAACTTGATTGAATTCGACCAAATTTTTGTAACCATTTATTCGTACAGAACACTGGCTGCCGATTAAAATTTTTTACACCATGTTGACCTTGTACAGATTTTTCTTTTACCGTCTCTGTATATGAAAAGAAAAGAGTTATTGAAATGTTATTTTATTTTCTAGGTTACTACGATGTTCAACGTGGTGAATAAACCGCCTACCATCGAATACAGGGTGGATAGTTGATGAGATGGTTTTTCATTTCTCGCCCCAATGCATAAGAAAAAGGTCCGAATCCTATAAATCTTTTTTCTCATTTCTTTCTCTATATGTCTTCCTGATAAGCCATAGAGAGAAACAGCAATGACCACGTCTTCTTTCTTATCTTTCGCAGGTAGGAAGGATTTCATTTATGAAAGAAGAATACGAGAGTTAAATAAGAAATGAAAAGAACATCAACAGAAGAAAAGGGGGCGTTGGCTTGGGCAGGATGCAGGAAGGTAAAAAAGTTGGCTCCTTTTCTTAAATTACATTAGTTGGTGTTGATCATTTTATGTGACACTAAAGTTAATTAAATGTTTGAAAAGAAATTAAAATGTAATAAAAAAAGAAGAAAAAATCTTTACAAAATTGAATTCATAATTTATAGGGCAATGGGAAGAGAATCTTACAAAGCATTCGAAGTTATTCATGTAACAAAGTTATTCATTAAAATCCTTCGATATTGAAAGTAACCAAACGTTTTCATTTTGTACACTTATTTCAGAAAAATTTGATATTTGAAAAATCCCATTTAAAATTAGCTAAAAACTTTTATGCGTTTTGAGCAAGACTTTTCTAGGGAATAATAAAATACATACTTTAATATTTGAATCTCGGTTTAATAAATTTAATTTAAATACATAAATTAAAAGATCCCTACGTTTGAACTTACACTTTTAGGTTAAGAGGCATGAAAGCTAAAATTCTAGGTTAAAAAACCTTATATGAAAAAAATCTTCAGTAAATGAATAAATTTTTACACTTCAAGTGTAACAGCAGATCAATGTTTACTATTTCAAGCAAAAAGTCATTCATTAAAATACTTCGACATTGAAAGTATCACCATTAAAGTGGTAACTGAATGTTTCTATTTTGCACACTCATTTCCGAGAAATTTGTTTGGAAAACTGAAAAATTACATTTAAACTTTTATGCATTTTGAGTAAGACTTTTCTTAGGGGTAATAAAATTTATACTTTGATGTTTGATTTTAAGTTTATGGAATTTAATTCAAATATATAAATTAAGTGACCCCTGCCTTTTAACCTATACATTTCGGTTAAGAGACCTTATATAAAAAAAGTTTAGAAAAAATCTTCAGTAAATAAATAAATTTTTACACTTAAAATGTAACAGCGGATCTATGTTCACCGGTTCAATCATTAAAAGTACTCATTAAAAGTTACTCATTAAATTCCGTCGACATTGAAAGAGGCATGAAAGCTAAATGTTTATATTATTTAAATTAAGAGACATATAAAAAAAAAAGTTTAATTTTATTTTTTTTGTCAGTAAATAAATAAATTTTCACACTTCAGGTAAACAGCAGATCAATAGTTACCATTTCAAACAAAAAGTTAGTCTTTGAATTATATGTATTTATTTTATAATTATATCATATTATAATAATTATATCATTGTTATATAATATTAATTAATTTATGTATTTATTATTTTTATATTTCATGTATAGAACTTATGAAAATTAAGTAATACTCAGGTCCAATAAGGTAATACTTTTGTGGTTTGAATTCTTTAAATATACACTTTAAAAAAAATTAAGTCTTTTTGAGGGAAAAGTATTGTTAGATCTTTTACATTAATATATAAAAACTTAATTTTAGTGAGGAAAAACTAGCTTAAAAAGTATTTAGTTCATAAAAATTAGATGAAAATTTAGCTGAGATTGTAATTTCGAGGAATACTGTATTTATAGGGCTATCGACTTCAAAATCAAATGTAAAGTTAAAAAAGTATTTATTGTAAATAATTAAAATATTCTATACAAAATATTCTATATAATAAGTATAAGAAGAATAAAATATTCTAGAAGTATAGTAACTAGTACTAGTAGTAGTTTTATACTTCTTACTTTCTTATAATATTATTATTATTTTAATACAATATATAATGTTATAATATTTTTATTATTTTAATATAATATAGTATAATCTTATAATACTATATTATTATAAATAGTTACATATAAAATAATCTTCAGAATATTTACTTTTTTATTTAAATATTGTGCTGTATAAAATTAAAATTTTTGTGGTCACGTTGAGCAATGAAACCACCGAATACTTGCACAGAAAAGATATTAAAATTCTAAAAGAAAACAAAGTGAGAAAGTTTTGGTATAGAAATATCACATCCGTGCTAATAAACTGATATCAACAGCTTGACTAGATAAATGAGCGAAAAGTACAAAGAGCTCAAAACATTTGGAATAAAAAAAATAAAGTAAAAAGCTGTAGTACCGATAAAAAAAAATCCTTTTAGAATACAGCGAAGTCTTCTATGCTAGAACTAAAAATGTCAGGAACAACTAACATAACCATAAATAGTCTAAATGGGTTTAATAGTTCTGAATCTATGTCATTACGCATCTAATAATTCCTATAACGCGGGAAAAACCTTTAATGACAAATTCTCATTTATCTGCGAAACAAATTTAAAGTTTCTAGAAAAGCGAATTTGAGTAAACCATGAAATTTCAAATGCTGAGGAAACGTTTTCAGAATATCAAAATGCAAACAAATTATTACAGAATTGTACCCCACTGCGCAATCCTGCAATAATTTGTTTGCATTTTGATATTCTGAAAATATTTCTTCAGCATTTGAAACCTCATGGTTTACAAGTAACTCACTTTTCTAAACCACTCATTTTTCCATAAGCTTTTAATTAGTTACATAGAGGAACATCAAATTTCACTTTTGATGCAGTTGTATTGTTATGTTCGTGATTGTTGTGCGCAAATTTTTTTTTAAATTTTGAAAAAGAGAATCTAAGCTTGGATAGTTGAAAGGAATGAAATGAATTAGCAGTAGCATTGTATTCGAATTATATTTTAATTTTTGCAACTGACATATAACATTGTTTTTTTTCTCAACTTAATATAGGGAAACTCTACTTTTTTCATATCAAGTGATACCCCGGAATTGGAGAAAGGTATCCGGAATGGGAGCAACAAACCTGCTGGAGCTTCAGCTGAGAGACATTCTTTTCTGCAATATGCAATGCTTCATTTCAGAGACAATCCAATCAGGTAAAACCCCCGGCAATAAATCCCAAACCACATAGATTTTGTTAGTGGGAGCAAAGGTTATAAAAGCGTTTGTCAGATTAAGCTGAATGTAAGGTTTATTCGAATATGACTATGTCACGTCGAACTCTTCCTATAGTAGGCATTATTGTAACATAACAGTACTATACTCTGTTGCTAGTTATTGGGAGTACAAATTAGTTCGGTCCGTTTTTATTTGTGATCAAAAATACATTTATTTTTGAACAAAATGAATGAACAGATTAATCAAAGTATTTTCCATCGCTAGCTACTACTTTTTCCCACCTCTCAGGCAATTTTCGAATTTCATCTCGAAAAAATGTCGCCAAATCGTGCTGCATCCAGTAATCAGAAGGAGCAATGCCCGGTGAATAAGGCGAGTGCGGTAAAATATCCCACTTGAGAGTTTCCAAATAATTTTTTACGACTTTTTTCACATGAGGCCGACCGTTATCATGCAGAAGAATAACTTTGTCATGCCTTTGTTCGTATTCCGGCCGTTTTTCACGTAATGCACGACTCAACTGTAGCCTATACCGATCGCCCGCAATGGAATGGCCAGGTTGTAGCAGCTCATAATATACAACACCTTTCACCATTCTTGAAACTATTCCCTACATGATTTATCAGTTGGAGCATTGTCACCATAAACTTCTACAAGCATTCGATGCTCTTCAACTACACCTTTCTTGCTATTAAAGCTTTAATTTGATGGAATTGTTCAGTCAATAAGCCATCACGAATCTATTATACAAGTTTTTACTTAAAATCATCATTCGGAAGAGATTAAGTTAAATCCTATACTTTCTTTTTCCTTCATAATTATGGTATAAGAGCATTTGTCATAATACGCTACTGGCTCATGCAATAACGTTTTATCAAAATATCTACTTTTGAAAAAAAAATGGAATCAGGAAATAAATATATATCGCTATTTTAAAGCGAAATGAAACTTTATGTGTCAGTCCCGTACTGTTCGTACTTAAAATCAAGTAAAAAATAGTGATAAGCGAATTTGAGTAATCAAAGTACAATTTAATTGCTGAAATTGTTTCTCAAAGTGCCTGAAAAACAGCACGATACGGGTTTTGATCAAGTGTGATTTGTTCAAATTTAAGCATGGTTCTGTTCTTCTTTTAATGCAGATCCAAGAATAATTTTCCAAGTCTAGATTTTCCTTAGCTTCTTTTCACAGTTGCGGCGAAACTTTCGTCAAACCCCACGCGTACAACTGATTCCTTCTTGATGAGTAAACTTCAATATTGTATTTCCAGGGAGAATCATAGCGTTACTTATGGCGGATCCATGAGAGGCACTGTCAAAATTCTAGGCTATCTGACGGGAAGACGAGCAAAGAAGTCACATCTCAATGATTGGACATGGAAAGAGCTCACGGATAAAGTTAAATACTCACCAGTGAGTATTAGCCCTACTCTCAGATCTTAAGGATATATCTCTCCGGTTAAGAATTTGTATGTAGGACGTCGTGTGGACATATAATATGCTATGAAATTTTTTTTTTTTCTTTTTAAGTAAATAGAACAAAAATCAAAGAATTTAGTCTGCCAAATGCCACAAAAAAGCTTCTAAAATGAAGTTGTACGTAAACACCTCCTTTACGTGATTAATGAACTAAACAAATCAAAATTTTCCCCACTTTCCGACAAGCTCTAAATTTCAACTGACGCCCTGCTCATGAGGATAACACATCAAGTTTCAACCATTCTCTGTTCATTTAGGCAGAGTTTATCACAAATTTTGAAATCTACATGGACAATCATTATTAGAGATGAGTATAGCGCGAAAGCAATGAAAAGCCATAGTAATAATGAAGTCTTGGAAAATTGGAGAAATTTTGAAAGGGGAAAAGTTTTTCCTCCGTCTTAGAGCAACTCTCTGATACTTTTGCGAATATATTTTGCATAAATGCCAGATCTGTCCTGTTTGCTAACATAAAAACTGGATTGCTATTATCACAGCTACAGATAAAACCTTTATCTTAGATGTTTAATAAATAATAAAACTAAAATTTTTTATGCAAATTCTTTACTCAGTATGCTTCTTTAAAACAGGCTAATTATGCTTTGAGTGTAAAAGAGAAACTATTTACCTCAAAGTTCTTAACTTGCATTTTAATGTTATATCAATATATGCGAAATAATAATGCGCTTTATTATTAATTGCAATATGACTTATTTTATATCTCTCTCTGTTTATATGCAAGTGACGCCATTGTGAGTAAATTGTATTAGTTTATGCTACGATTCAGAAACCAAACAGGTTAGACACAAGCGAGTGACGCCGTTTACAAGTATTCAATTAAATCTTGATCCGAAAATAGATTCAAGGTGATAATAAACCATGGCTTTATTGCTATAACACAACCATCACATGGTTGGGCTCAATCGCGTATTGTTCTTCTCGCGTTGCAAGTACCAGATTCGAAATGTGGCTTTCGTCAAACTGGTTGTCAAAGGGTTAAAATTAATAATAGAGTAAAAAAAACAAATTCTTAAAAAAAAAATACCGATTCAATCATAAATAAAGTAATTTTTTATTCACAAAAATAAAACTAAGATCACAAAATAGACGAGATCAAAAACAAGTGATATTATAAAATATAAATCTGTAACAAAATATGTATCGAAATATTTAGCTACCAAGAAGCATTTTTCATGTTTAGTAAAATGAACGGACTATCAAACATAGGAAGGCTTAATGCAATCACCATTCATTTCATGTGTATGTAGCAGCGCTTCATAACGGAATGATTGCCCGCATTTATTGCAAATGTAAGATGAATTATTCAAATGGAGAGCTTTGTGGTGAATGAGTACTGTCCTGTACTTGAAACGCTTTGGACAGATATCACACGCAAATGGTCTCTCACTCTTGTGAGTAATCATGTGACGATTTAGAGAACCTTTTTGAGTAAACCTTTTATCACACATATAGCACTTGTGTGGATACAGTTCGGCAGGTTTCACAGGAAATCTAGGTAATTTATAACGTTCTTTGATCTGGTAATCATCATAACTTGTTTGTCTAAATGAACTCATCAAATTTTCTACATCGTTTCCAAAATTGTTCACAGCAAACACTGAAAGGGAAAACAATTGTTTTAGTAAATACAAGTTATACGGAAGGAAAAAAATTTACTTTGAGGCTTACAGACAACTAAATATACAAGTAAATTATAATGGCGAACAGACACCTGTTACTTATGCTGAATCTATCTATCTATATATAGATATACACACACCTGTAATACATACGAACAAGAAGAATTAAAAACAATTCCCACCGCTTCTCACTAGGACTCTCGACCAGCGCCCACGACCAAAGAATATACATAATATCCCCTCTAGATTCTTTGCCATCAGTACCACGTTGCCTACACCTCATTTGTGGGCTGCGGCTCATGGATTGGGTTTAAGCTATGGGAACTCAACATGTTTCGTAAAAAAGGCCTTAAAATATTTAATGAAGTATGCACATCCAAGAGTCGCAAACTAATGTTAAAAAAAAAAAAACGATATTGAAATTGAGCAAATTTCTACCGAGGAAGACTAAATACAAAAAGCATTGAATCTAGTTTGATTGCCTCGTGAAATTTGAAGGTGTTTCTGAAAGTAATCTTTCATCTTCTCTACTTTTCCTTCGTCAGTCTAATAAGTTTTGATGCTTAATTTTTATAATTTTTCGCAGTGAGTAGTGATTAATTAGAATTTAATAAAATTTTAGTGTCTTTCTAGTTTAAATATTTATTTGCGATCCTTAATGAGATTAGCTTTATTTTTGACAAGATCTTTATAAATATCAGTTAGGAACACCTTGTATAATTTTCGCATTAAACTATTTCTGGGTCATGTAAATAATCATTTTTTGAAGAACAATTATCCTTCATATACGGGGGCATATCTAGTTAAAAGGGAAAACTGGTTTAGAGCAAAATATTATTAAATTATAGATATGCAGCCACAAAAAATTTAAATTTATTAACTATTGATATTACAAATATAAAGCATTTCTTATGAAACATTTCTCAAAATATGGTCAACATTACAAGGTTTATTTATAAACTGAAGAAATTTTTTTAAAAATAAGCCTGAGAATACAATCAAAAAAATAATTTTCAGAGTAAAATAAAATGAGCATAGGCTGCATCTTCGACTAAAAAAGTGGACGTTGGATGGCGACTGACTAACAATTTGTAATGCCATTTGATATATTTAGTGGCCCCGTGGCAAGTGACAACCGTTAATTTTGCCTTATATGATACAATTCAAAATGCACTTGAAGCGGTCGTTGTTAAAAGGGAGTTATTGCTATGAAAATAAGTCTTTTGTTGGTTTTGTAATATCAATACCGAATAATTTTCTAGACTGCCTAACGAAGAGAAGCCAACAATTTGGAAGCAATTAAAACAATTTTTCCACATATGGCACAGCTTTTTTAGTTTTTCTCGAAAGTGCAGATTTGTGACATATCTCCTTCTAACATTGATCGCTTCAATTTTCTACGCACATGACAGAGGATTAAATTAAAATCGTATACAAGATTCAGATATTACAGAAAAATTTATGTTATATAGTAAACAAAAAAAGTTTTATATTTTATAAAAGTCATAATTAAATTCTAAAAATAAATATTAGTTTAAAAAATATTATGTAAAGGAACAGAGCAGTTGAACTTGAAAAATAAAGCATTATAATTGAAATTATCTAATAAATACTTATATTATTCTAACCTAGCTAATATACATTTTATAGAGAATATTTTAAAATGTTTAAAATATTTTAATGTAGAATATTTTTAACAATCTAATATACATCTATATAGCCAACCTTAAACTAATATACATGAAATATTTTAAACAGTTGTTTACATTGCTATTTTAATTTGCACGTAATACACAGTCCAGTCACATTAATGTGACCACCACCTACTTTCGACGTCAACGTGAAATAACNATAATTTTCCAGACTGCCAAACGAAGAGAATCCAATAATTCGAAGCAATTAAAACAATTTTTCCACATAAGACACAGTTTCTTTTAGTTTTTCTCGAAAGTGCAGATTTGTAACATATCTCCTTTTAACATTGATCGCTTCGATTTTCTAAGCACATGACAGAGAATTAAATTAAAATCTTACACAAGATTCAGATATTACAGAAAAATATATGTTATATAGTAAACAAAAAAAGTTTTATATTTTATAAAAGTCATAATTAAATTCTAATAATAAATATTAGTTTCAAAAATAATATGTAAAGGAACAGAGCAGTTAAACTTGAAAAATAAAGCATTATAATTGAAATTATCTAATAAACACTTATATTATTCTAACCTAGCTAATATACATTTTATATAGAATATTTTAAACTGTTTAAAATAAATTTTTATGTAGAATATTTTTAACTATCAAATATACGTCTACATAGCCAACTTTAAACTAATATACATGAAATATTTTAAACCGTTGTTTACATTGCTATTTTAATTTGCACGTAATATATATAGAATGTTCTCTAATGACTGTCCTGAATGTTTAACTTTTTAACCATTTAGAAGACACACGCAAATTCAGTTATTTTACATGATAATTTTTTTAAAATTTATTTATTAAAAAAACAGTGGGATTTACTCTTTTTACATAAGCGACTTGATCGCTCGCGTCGGCATAATGGATAACCCAAAAATATACTACGGGGCAAAAACAATCAAATAACAGTTCAATTTATTGCGAGACTTAAATATGTTTACTTTCTGTTATACTGATTGTAAATAGAATAGGCGCCTTCATGTTACGCGATTTTCCCACTCTTCACACTTTTCCTTCTTCATTTCATTCGGCAAATCTCGCGTTTGAATATACTTGCGTGGAGAAACCATGGAAACGGAAGGAGGGCGAGTAGAGTGGGAACATCACGTACCCTTGAGGTACCTATTCAGTTTACAAATGGATCCTTTCAGCTTAAATCTAAAAAATATCCTAGTTTTAGATTATTTTAATGTTTCCTTTTCTCTAATTAATCGTAATAATAATTTACGAGAGTTTGAAACTTTAGTTTTTTTCTCTAAATAATTAATATTATGTATATTTTTTCATATACATATTAGGAGTCGTCATTAGAGAACACCTAGTACAATAAACTTTATTTTATATGCCATTTATTTCTCTTTAGTTTCCAATTGTAACATCACTATTAAAGCTGGAAAATGACTACTTAAATAGATTAGCAGTTGATACATTTACAGGTAATCAATAAAAACTTTAACATATAGTCTATCTAAAGAACTCCTCTCGCTAATCGTTTGGCACACTGTCAGTCACTATGCTTACAAGATTGAACTATTATAGTATTAAATATACAGTCAGGGGACTGCGAGAGAAGTATCAAAAACCTAAATAAGCTTTCTTTTTTCGATAGCAACAGACAACTCCAGACTTTATGGAGAGAGGAGTAATTTAGATACATATATAATACATTATAACTAAAAATATAAACTAACAATAACAACAACGTTATCTCAATATTTTAGCTATTATGAGATATATGGGAGATTTACCATTAGGCTTACTTCAGAAAGAAGTAGAATGTGTATATACTATACTAGTGGTGAGATATTTTTATTCTTTATAAAATATCTATTTGCTAATTCATCATAAAACTAAAAAGGTTTATTAACATATTATATTTTTAAAATTCAAAGGTGCTTGATTTCCTTAAAAAAATAAAATAAATTTTTAAAAAAATCCGATTTATTCAGACACTGTAAGAACTTCAGTTTATAATCAGCAAAATTTTATAAATGTAACTGAAATGAAGTACAATTAAAAGTAAATCATAACAATACATTTTTAACACTATTTTGGAATGAAATAATAATACATGTAAACACTCGATTGTCGATTCAAATTAAGTGAAACTGAAATGCATCTATATGAGACTAGTGCAAAACAGAATATTTCCATATAGTTTGTACTTTACTTTTATTGCAGGTTAACAAATATTTCTATTTAGAATAACTCAACTACCTTATTTATATACAAAAAAAAAAAAAAAACGCTTTTTNAAAAAAAAAAAAAAAACGCTTCTTTAAAAAAAGATAATTTTTTAAAATTTAAAAGCTTTCAAAGTTACAAAAATCCCTAAATAATTTAAAATATATAAAATTTTTAAATAAAAAGAAAACACAGGGAAAAAAACAAACATATGATATAAATATATGATTTTTTTAAAATCAACTACTAGTAACATTTAAACCTGTCTTTTTTTTTTAACTCAATTGTAAGTTCAATAAATAAATAAATAATCAATTAAAAAAAATACAAGAGTATTTTAATAAACTTACTATTGAATTGATTATTCTATTATTTTTTAATTTCATCAGTATTATTAACGTATTGCAAAATTGTTGGAAAAAAATGTATTTAGTATAATTTTTCTTTCAGATTTGTCATCATCATTCTCCAATCAGAGATGAAGTTTATTGTCAATTAATGAAACAAACTACAAATAATAAAAGTTTAAATCCGTAAGTACCTATTCAATGAGATTGTTTGAAAAATTAAACTAAAAATATAACAAAAAAAAAGCAAGTTATTTAAAATTTTATTAATTTGCTCTTTTAAAATTGGAACTAATAAATAATAAGTTTAACTTTAAAATTAAATTTTTTGATGAACTAACTCAATGATAAATCACTACTTCTCTAACAAAATAAAAATCACTAAGTTAACTCATTAATATGAAAATTTTAATGTCTAGGATAATTTTTTGCAATTAAAAAACAAATTTTAGTTTTAATAGCAGCTAAAAGGAATAAAAAATGACTTTTTTTTTGTTCTTTTTTTTTGTGTGTGTGTTAATAATAGAACTTACCTACAAAATTTCGATTTTGTATTGGGCATAAATAATGTAATTTCAAAAAATTTTTTTTCATTGTATGTTTCAGGTTGACGACAAAAAATACTGACAAATGTAATATAAAACAAAGTTGTCAATATACCACAAACGAATAAATATGAAATATTTATTGGTTTACAAACCAATAGATATGATGATTACACAAACTAGTAGATATGATGATTTTTCAATAAATATGAAAACGTTAATATCTGCAATTTATTTGCAAATTTTAAAATAAATTACCCTGGACCTTAAGGCACACTAAAAATTTCCAGCAGGCTTACCCTATTTTGTCAAATTTGTGGCTCAAGGGTTTTTAAAAGATGCAAAAGTAATACAAGCTTTAGCGTAAACATCAGTCTCCAAGACCGACCTAAACAGAAAAACCCATTATATTCAAGTTTGGTGAATAAGGTGGCCATCTTATGGGTCCTTATAAAATCTGGAAAATGTCCCCTTGCAGAAGTTTGTGGTCTTTCAATTCTACTGGAATGCAGCTTCTGCGGTCTTGTTACAAGGTTCATTTTTGAATTCTAAAGAAAGCCTACATGACAAAGCACAGAACATCTTCCAAAATTGCATTGTAAAAGAAATATATGGTTTTAAACTTTGTTAACCACGAGTAATGTAACTCTTGTAGTTGTAATTCTAAAATAATGCATAAATATTTTTGTTTCAAATGTATCTAAAAGAGTTTTTTTTTTCTTCTACTATATAGAGAGAGTCAAATTCGTGGTTGGAGACTTCTGGCATTTATTGCAGCATTCTTCAAGTGTACAGACAGCTTAATGCCTTATTTAATGAAATATTTTGATACAGCAGCTAACGACACAAGAAGAGCAGAGCAAGGTAAGATTAAGAAAAACAAGCTAGTATAATTCTTTCAAGTTTAAATTAAATGAAGTTGGAAGAAATGGGAGAAACAGCAATAAATAGTACAATGGTAGTTTACTATATATGTTAGATGCATAAAATTTAAGTTTTACATACTTAGTTGACTCATTTTTTAGTTAAGGCACACTGTTAAATTAGAGCTTAGTTTACTTCATTTTAACCTTTTAACTGTTATGACGTACGCCTCCATTTTGATAAGGTTTTCTTTTTTTAGATTTTATATCTTTAATCATTGGGCCATTTCCCCCCCAATATTTTTATCTCTTACATCACTACTTTGTTCATCATTATCATATTTGGAATGACAGCCTAGGGTGGTCTAAGGCTTTTTTTTTTTTTTTTTTAAATTCTGCCATGAAAACTTATTTTTTGAGTTGGACTGCTAGTCTTTTACTCCAAACACTCTAAAATCTGATTCCACAGAATTGAGCCATTGTTTTTTTCTGCCTTTCTTTCATTTAATGAAGGGCACTGACACAAAAATTTTTTTTCACAGGCACTTCTTGGTCCATTCTAGCAATACAAGCACCTCAGTTCATTTTTTTAATTTCAATACTTTTGATGATATTAGCTCTTCAAAAGTTGTATAAATTTCCAAGTTTAAATGCCTTTGCCAAATACATACATTTATCTATATACTGGGTGATTATAAAATAACTTAGCTTACATAAAACCCTTTGGAAGTGAATAGAATAAAATTTTGTACACAAGCATTATGATTTATGCACTCAATGATTTTAAAAATAATTGCATAGCACTCATAGATACAGTAACAAAACTACAAAATTTTAAAATGGCAAAACAAACTTTTGATTAAATGGTAATCCTTGCATTAAAAAACATAAAATAGAGATGCATGTTTATTAATTTAAGAAAATAAAATAAATTGTAACACTAGGCTTTGGCCAAGGGTCACCATTTTTCGTGACCATTAATGAAAAGAGAGTATGATAAAAAAATTTAAAAACGGGAAAAACTATATATATATATATATATAACATAAAAAGCTTCTTAATCTTTTTATGTTATCCTAATTAATTATTCTAATCAAAATACTTTCTCACACTTTTAAAAGCCACATCCTGTTCTTAAATCTATTTTTGGCTCAAGTATGCATTTAATTAAAAGCAGGACATTTTTCCCTTTGCTCTCTGTGGGAAACGGTCGATCTATTTCATAAACCAATAGCAACTACTAAGATTTCCCTCCTTCCCTAAATTGAAACATTTTACGGATTTTACTTTGCAAGATTTTCCCTAACATATAACCATGGAGCCAACATTTCGTACACTTTTGTCATGACTGCACTGACTAATAATTAATAAATAAATTTTGTACCCTCCTTCCCGGTCTAAGACCTGTTTTAACCCTTCCACTCGGCAACAACTTTATATATATACATGTATGTATGCATGTTATGATAGCTGTTAATGATAAATATTTTTAAAATTTTTTTTCCTCTTGAATAGCAACTGCTGAACTATGCTTACATAACTTGAGGCAGACCATTAAATGTGGGGGAAGACGCAATGTTCCAACCGATGCAGAAGTGGATGGAATCACTGTAAGTTCATTGAAATATATTATTTCATGTCCAAAATTTGAATATTTTATAATTTAAAATCAAACATAAATAGTATTTTGTTAAAAGGGCTTTTTAAAACAAAGATCCAAAAGCTTTACATACAAGATATTTTTACCCCACAAATTTTTTCTTTTAAAAAGATTTTTTTCATTCAAAATTTTTTAGAATTTTGTTAGTTTTTTGCAATGGTAGAAATAAAGTTTTATTAGTATTTTTAACACGCTACTTCACCCAATTAATATATATATTTTTTACACCAATCCAAGATTTTTCAAACATGCAATATTAGAGAAAGTTATATGTTACGTATATTCAAATTTAATATATACAGTACAGAACCCGTTATCCGGAAATCAGAAAACCGGAACGAAATTCAATAAATTTTCCCGCCAATTTTTAAAAAAAAAAATAAATTCCTCATAAGATTTAAGGATTTTTCTTTCTTTTTTGAAGGATGTTTACCTTACCATCATTTTGGAAATAATCATTAGTGTATTACTTCATCATTTTTTCTTCTTTTTAAGATCATTTCCAACTATTTTTTTTTCTTTTTTTGTTGGGTTTAACAATTAAAAAACGGCTTTTTGTATCGATTCAGAAAACCAGAAAAATCCGTTATCTGGAATAGCGATGGTCCCGATCATTCCGGATAATCGGTTCCCTACTGTATATGCATATAAAATTTAAATTTATTAAACTGAATTTTTCAATCAGAATAATGATAAATGTAAGATAGATGAGAAAATAAAATTATATCAAGTATCATGTGATTTTAAAACTTAATATTTTCAGTTTTTTCCCCATCATATTAGATCCAAATTTTTAATAAATATAATTTGCGACATTTAATATTTTGAGATGAATATTGTATAGATTCACACAGACAGATTTTACCCTTTTTATCACCAGATGTTAAAACATTCAATAATTTCAGCACTGAATTATACTTTATAAAAAGTTGCCTCTTACACCTGACAAAGGCTACTAACTAAAAATCATTGGTATACAATTTATTACGTTTTTGCTTTAAATCTTTGATATTTAGTAAGTGAAGTAAACAAAAACATAATTATTGTTAATTGAAAAAAAAATATTCATCTTTAAAAAAGTACAAATCTATTTTGTCTACATGATACGCAACAACAAATTATTGATTCTAAAATATTGGTGATCAAAAAGATTTGGAAGTAAAAAATAGACAGTATTTTAGTTCCAATTTCTTTTTAAAAATATACATCAATTTGAGTTTGATTAAATACAAGAATCTGATATTGTACAAAAAATAATTTCTTTCTGTTCTAGGAAGGAAAACTAAGTAAGCTACAAGCCTATTATTTACCAGGTGGGCTGCAGTTATCGTTATTGACAACATCATCAACTGTTGTAGACGACATAATAAAATCAATTTGTTCAGAAATGGGAATAGCAAATGAAACAGAATTCAGAGAATTTTCACTCTATTGCATAGTTGAAGGAGGTAAATGACTTCTTTTATGAAGAATTATGTTACATAATTTTATGTCATACAAACACTTAACTATAATACACAGCGAATTCGTTATTTAAAATTAAAAATTTGTTAGTTTTAAATTATAGATGATAGTTAATAAATTAAGTATTACTTCATAAAAACATTAAACTAATTGTCACATAAAATTGGTCAATTAAAATCAGAAATTTTAAATCAGAAATAATTGTTAGTAAATGAAGTATTACTTCATACATTAAGCTATTAATCACAGTAAATAAGTTTTTAAAAATTACACAAAATTTTTATTTTCAAATCATAAATGATTTTAACATTTAACTATTAATCACAAAAATTTAATTATTAATCACAGAAAATATGTTACTTAAAATAAAATTCCACAATTGTGTCCACTTTTTAAATCATAAATTATTGTAATAAATTAAGTATTATTTCATACAAACATTAAACTATTAATCTCAGCAAATTTATTATTTGAAGTTATAAATTATGCAAATTTGTTATTTTCAAATAATAAGCATTACCTAATGGAAACATTTAACTATTTATTACATATTCATTATTTTTAAAACATAAATGATTCTCAATAAATGAAGTTTTATTTCATACAAAACATTAAACTATTTATCACAGAGAATTGATAATATGTTAAAAATTACAAATGTTTTAATTCATAACTTGCTAATAAATAAACAATTTTAATCAATAATGTTGAGCCTAAATTACCTGAGGTATTTAGGACTCAATCTACTTTGTATAAACAAAATTTTCAGATTACAGAGCTTCATTATTCTAATCATATACTTTCACGTTGAAAATTGAGATAATTACTTATAATGAAACACTTCCTTAAACAGAAGTGACAATTTTTTGACAGGCGTAGCCAGTAAAAGTAACCATTAAAATAATTCCAAAAATCATGTACAAATATCCTTTTTATGTTTTCAAAAACTAATTTTACATATGTGCATCAGAGATTTTAACAAAGGGTTTCAATAATGCAATATCAATAGTGAATAAACATGGAATTTTGTAGAGCAAATCATGACAGCACTTAATTATATAAAGAAGAGAAAGCGAAAAACCCAAAATATGCAAAAACGCCAACTTCGGCAATGATTTAAATTAAATAAGATATTTTAATGATAATGAAGGTTCCACTGCAATTTCAATAAAGAAAAAAAAATCTTTACTTTTACCTTCTATGGCAATGAATAATTTTTACCATTAAATAGTAACAATTTTTAATGTTTTATTTCACACTTCGCAGATCAATATACAATGCCACTTGAGAATGACGAGTACATTTTAGACCTAGTAGCTGAACTTCAAAGAAACGAAAACACCTTTTATTTAGTGTTTTGTCGATCAGTGTGGAATTTTGAGCTACGTTTAGACTCTGAACTTTATATAGAGATTATATTTCATCAAATTGTACCTGACTACTTGGAAGGATTTCTACTGGTCATGACATGCCATTCTCTATCAGAAAAAACAATGGTAAGAAAGTGAGCTCTTTTATCATTTTTCAACTCCTTCAGTCCCAGTGAGTCCTTGGTAGAAAAAAAGGAGTATTCCAAAGGAAGTAACTGAAACTATGTCACTTGACTTCTTCCCTTCATTGAAAAAAAAATGCAGTAAATCTCATCATTTTTCTTTTGCTGAATGAACCAAGTCTAGTTTTTTGTTTCTGACATTTTCCCGAGATATCTTAAAAACATGATTTCAAAAGTGGAACTGAAAGAATTAATAAAAGAGTTAGGAATATACTGAAATATAAAATACATAATATAACAATGTTTTCAAAACCAATAAGTTGAATACATTACATAGATTATTTAAGATATTATTTAAGATAAGAAATGCTATCTAAATTTTTTTCTTTATTGAAATGTTAGTTTATGTTTTTATATTTTGTATTTAAAGAATAAAATGATATACTTCTTAAATCCTTTACTTCATCCTCAATGTTTACATTTTCTACTCTTTACAAAAAGAATATTTGTGTAAAAGCAAAACACCTGAAATTTGTTAAGGTTAGATTCCACAACAAAATTATGATAGTCATCCAGTGAAAATAAAATTAAATTTCATAAAAAACGTTTAAAAGTCACAAATAGTAAAATCCCTTATGAAAACCTATAAGCGTTTCAGGATGAATGGTAATGATAGTAAAGCAGAAATAGTGTTATTCAATATAAATTTAACCTGCTGATAAAGGTATACCAATAAGACACAGAAATGCTTATAGGTTTTAATAAAAGATTTTACTAATTGCAATTTTGAAACATTATTTTGAATGGATTTTTCATTAAATAAACGTTATTTTAAAATTTAAATTACCACTAAATAAAAGTGCAATCTTTGAAGAAATATTTACATGTTCTGGGATCACAATGGTATACCTTCATCAGTAGGATAAATGGTAAATCAGAAATGGCATTGTTCAATTTAAATTTAACCTGCTGATGAAAGTATGCCAATGTGACACTGCAATACTAATAGGTTTTAATAAAAGATTTCACTAAATAAAAATGTAATTTTGGTATGAATATTTACAAATAAAGCTGATAAAAAAACTAATTTTTATGCAGGAGATATTGCTCAAAATTGCCTTACTGTTGCACAGATCGAAAGGAAATGAGAATGAACCAAGCATGTAAGTTATAATAGTTCAAATATATTATAAAATTTCTGAAAATTATGTAAAAACTTCATAAATTATATTTAAATAATTTATGAAGCATATTACATTACTTAACAGCAAAATATTAGTTAACAGTTAGTTAGTATTATATTTTTTAACAACAAAAAATATTCTATGAAAAGGAACAAAATATTAAAAATAGACTTATGTGCATGAGACAAATAAATTTTACTTTAAAATACAATGATTTGTCAAAGTTTAATGAAACTGAATAAAGACAATAGAAGTATTTATACAAAAAATCATTTCATATAAAAATTCTTCAATATAAAATCAGTTCTAAAAAACTAGAAAAGTTTAAAAAATTAGCAATTTATAGCAATTTGTTGGTTTTACACGTTTGCAGATTGATTTATCATTTACTAATATTTTATATGTTGCAACATAAGCAATATTTAACATATTTTTTTTAACTAAATTTTAACATTTAACGTACTGAGAGACAGTAAAAATAGAAAAACTATCTATTATAATTGATTATACATATCTTGCTTATAGGACAGAAATAGAACATCTACTGCCAAAGCCTGCTTTAAATATATGCATGCAAAAAGAATATTTGTGGAAAAGCACAATTCCCAATTTATGGGAGAGTATGATTCCATTGAATAAAACTGAAGCAAAGGCTCAATGCTTGGGTAATGATTTTCTACTTCATACATTTTATAATATTACTCGTTTTCAATTCTACATATACATACAGACATGTTTTCAACGTAAAATATTAAGTATGAACTGATTACATATAATTGATTCAGGTGAGAGTGCTTAAACTGAATGCAAAATCATGCTGAAGATGGATACTTTCAGAACAAAACAACTTGTAGTCGTAATAATTTTATTACCAGACAGAGAGCGTAAAACCAAATGCAGTTATGTATTGTTAAAATAGTGGTTGTTTATTTTAAGCATTGTCTAAGACAAATGATGTAAAAGTCTTTGTCAATGGGTAAACATTTATAGTGGATCTGGTAGGACAAACACCATATCATATGAAACCATTGGCAGCTTTTAAAAATAATTAATGATAGAATTTTTATAAAGATCTATACACCTTTAGCTGTGACATTGGTGTACCATCTTTAGTAAGGGATAAGACATCGATTTTTTCCAAACAACAACCTCAAACAACCAAAGATTGCGTTGACAACTGGAGAATTTAAGCAATTTCATGTGAATATGGACGTTCTTATGTAAGACAAACTAATAGAGCACTCCAATATCGTCTCAAACATCAGAATTGAACTCATCTATCAATAAATTTTGCTAACTGTAGGCTTGAATTTTTTTCTTCTCACATCACACTATTCATCAATGTATTTCCATGCTTTAACCTGAATCTTTGGGAGAATGTACAAATCATAAAAAACTTCATTGTTTATAAACTTGCTGTTATACTATATTTTTCAAACAATCGGACGTTTTTTTTTTATAACCTGTACTGCCAATTTAATGTTGTAACCATATATTTATATTTTATGAGTGTGATGTAACAAAATTACATCTTCTCTGTTTTGCCATTTATTTCACTAATGAAAGAGTACCAATAGGGCAATAAAACACATATAGGATTTTACTATTTTTAAACTTTTTTAATTAAACTTAATTTTATCACAAAGGATTGCTCTTATTTTATGACTTAGGGTATTCTCAATTTGTTGGCTAATAGATACCTAATATATGATGCAAACCAACTACCTTCCTTTGGTGGCGCTGAAATTGCTACAGTAATTCTGACATTATCAGATATGTCCACTTTCATTACAATAAAATTAATATATAGCTAAAGGTTTGGTCAAATTATTTAACAAAATAAAGCATTTTGCACTATTTTGATATACTTGTATTAATTGTTGAAAAACTTCCTAGGATCAAAATGACTGGAAAATTATTGAATTTATACTGTGAAAAGATTACCTAGTTATTTGAAACAACAAATACAACAGAATAATATATTTAGCATATATTAAGCTATTTTGGGTTGAAAGCCTGTACGGCGCATCTTACATTTAAATTACTTTTAAGAGGTGAAATAATTAATTGAGAACTGTAATTTTTTCCAGAAATACTACAAAGATGGTCCCTATTTGGTTCTTGCTTTTTTGGAATAAAGGTTAGAAATTTTTCTTTGATATTGAAAAATTAAACTTTTTTGGGACAAAGTATATAATTTTTTAAAAAAAATATCATTTTACAGATGTTGGAGGAAGATATAGAAGAGGAATATATTCTTGCAATAAATAAAATGGGAGTAAATGTTTTGCACATGGAGACACATGTAAGTACATAAATAAATTAAACTATTAAGAGCTTTACTTCAATGAAAATATTTTAAATAATATTAGTTAATATTATTAAACAAACAACAAAGCAAATCAGGACATCATTTATTAAATATAGATGCCCTTATTTTTGAAAATGGAATAAGTTCATTTTTAATTCTTTTTCACAAATTGAGCTTTTTGAGGGTTGGTATTTGAATGAATTTCAAAATATTTGCAATGGTTAATCAGTTTTGGTCACATTTTTAATTTGATAAAAAACATCAAAATGCCACAATGATTATCAGAATCTTAAATAAATAAATGAACTACTTCGTAGCTCCAAATGGACTTATTCCAGTTTAAAAAATAATGGCTCAAATTTAAATGATTTTTAAAATGCCCTTTTAAAGTAGCTGTCTGTCATTTTAAAATAGCTGTCTAGGAAGTTCAATATAATATTAATTTAAATTAAAAACATCTTAAACTTGTAATAAATATAAATGGAGTTTTTCAAATTTGATTTATAATAATTATGAATTTATGATAAGATTTATAAGTAAAATATAGAAGGAAATGATTCACCAGATGTTCAGTTTTTTTTCAATTTAAATTTTTTCTTTTTGGTAGGTCATAGGAATTTTATTGGACAAATTATTCTTAGAATCATTTTACTTTACGACTTAATTTATATTGTTAAATTCTTAAACAGTTAAGTACCTGGTTTTGGACTGTTTATGCAAATATTGTTACAGTAAGCAGGTATTTATAAAAAGGAAACGCAAGATTTTAATATTGCAAATAATATTTTGGCATGTTAATGCAGGGGTGATTGTGAGTGCCATTCAAAAAACCTGAATATTTCTTGAGTGAAATCATTAATGACGCATTAAAAAATATTAATGTCTTTTTAAATTTAAATCATAAATAATTGATATTTCCAGAACATTAAATTAAAAATAAACAGCATAATTTAAATGAATAATTATATATAAGTTTACTTTTATCTTCAATCACATTTCTTATTCAACCAGAAAAAATATTTACAAATGAAAGATGCAAAGTATAAATTCTAGTTAAAATAATTTTTAAATAGTATAAATTTTTTAAATAAAATATAAAAGAATTTTTAAACATAAATGTGATATAGATTTTGTTCATTTGTTTTAACGCAAAAGTATTTTTTATTTTTATTTAAGAATATGACTGGATTTATACTTTTAAGACTATCTTTTAGACAAAAAGTCTGAAATATGCATTAAGGGAAGTAATTATAGAACACTGTGTATAAATGATAAATAAAAAGTTGTATATAATCAAAAATAATTTCAATATTTCTATAAAGGAAACACAATGGAGGTTTAATTTTGCTGCAGTCTATGCACCTTATAACGTAGTAGATTTGAATGGCACAACCTATGCAGATGTTATGTTTGGAGACAGGAATATAAAGAAAACTGTCCGTCTACAAGTTGATCATGTAAGAATTCATTTCATCACTTTTTTCATCCTCCTATTGTTTGTTTTCCATTGAGCTTTTTAATAACTGAAGCAAAGTCATAATGAATTATTAATATATATATATTATCCATTTTTACTTAAGTTAGGAATAAATAAAAAAATATACATAAGATCTTTGACAAATTTAATAAATTAATATAGTAGACACTTGAGTAACCAGGATGGTCTGGTCAGGAAATGCCTCACTTTAGATAAGGATAAGTGATAATTNAAAAAAAAAAAAAAAAAAAAAAAAAAAAAAAAACTGAACTTAAAATTATTATACAAACAATAGAGTATAATAATTAATAATGATCATGCATTAATAATGATTAATGCAAGAGAAAGAGGATAAACAAAAATTTAACTTTAATACCGAGATTTAAAATTACTACTTTTAAAAGGAAAATAAAGTATTTTGTTTACTTCATAGTTTGGTGAAGAATGATATGATTGAATATTTTAATTTTTTCCTTACTTTTTTAAGAAATTTACTAAATCGATTTCTCAACATCATTCATAGGTGTCATATCACAATCAATACTTCTTTGTTCCTTTTACATTTTTTGGTCATCTTGATCCTTGGTTGCTACTCAGATAATGTGATTCCAGTTAACAAAGATTAAAAGGTCTACTGTATTTTTCATGCAATTCAATAGTTTCAACAATAATTATAGGCTCCAGCACTTTTGCTAACATATCCCAAGTTTCATGAATTAGTAGAATCTTTACAAACAAATATATATAGAATTATGAAATAATCTATATTTTGCAGATATTATTTTAAATGGTGATCAGTTCATTTTTATATTAGTAAAATAACTGAAAAAAAATGACAAATGTTAGTAATGTATAATAATGTTAGAACAGGCAGTGATAGACAAGAGCATGATTTAAATCAAATGATATCTTTAAATCATTATATCTGAATTTTTTTTGCTTAAAATAATTTATTAATATATTTTCAAGGCTGGAACTTTTTTTTAAATTTCTGATTTTAGTGACAATGGAGTATTTATCATAAAAAATGATGAATTTGGTTTATTTGCAAATTATTTGATTTTAAAAATAGAATAACAAATAAACTAAATATGAAGTGGCATGAAATTTTGAACATTTTATTTTCCATTATTTGTATATTGAATAATTTGCTTTTGATAAATATTTTTCAATTATACCACATTTAGCTTTAAATTTTATTTAAATACAATTTTAAGAGGGTGTAAAGCTGGAATAAAAATTATGATTTAGTTTAGTGGTTAGTTAGTCATAATTAAAAAATAACTTTAACCATTTCAGTTGGAAACATTAAATATTGATAATGCATTTTACCAGAGCGTTGACTAGAAAGAAAAAAAACTTTTTTTTAAAAAACTTTTATTTTATTAATTTAATATTGCATTTATATATATATATGCAGATCTCTAAAACCTTTAACTTTTGATAATAAAAAAAAATAATAGGCACACTATTTTTACACCTCCAGAATTGTTTGAAAATGTATAAAATATCAGAAAATAATCGTGAACATCGAAAATTTTGATGCCCTTACTATGTTAAATTCGATTAATTAATCCTGAGGTTACGGTCTGGACAACTTAGTGAATAGATCCAATTCGATTAATGATTCCTGAGATTCGCCCATATATATCATGAATAATTTCTTATATATGTATTCTTATATAATATATATATGCAATTTCTTATATATTTCTTTAATGAATGAATATAAAAAGTAAATAACCCAAGAAACTAATAAAGAATTATATTTTTTAAAATAGGCACATGAGGTGACAAGGTTGATTCAGCAGTATCAACTAATTCAAGAAATGAAAGAAGAAAAAGAAAATGAAGAGATAAACTTCCCTGCAGTTATGATTAAAGTTTAAATGAAAAACTTTTAAAATTACATGAAAAGTTACTGCATGTTACTAGTCATTTTTTAATTCTTGCTTTTGAGAAGAAAAAAATTACACAATATTTATATTCATTATTCAATAAAAACTTTTAAATATCACAATCACTATTTTAATTTTTTTTAAATTGTTTACACACTTAAAAACATGTAAGAGTTGAATTAATTGAAAAAAGTCTTATGAAGTTATTAAATATTAAAGTAAGATTAAAATAATTATTTCTGCACCAACGAAATATCAAAGAACTTTGATGAAAAATATAGATATATACACTTGCATTGTTGTTTGTTTTGAAATGATACTTGTACTAGAAAGAAAGTGGAATCATATTAGTTGCTACAATTGGATTTCTTAAGTTCAATGCTGCAAACACAAAGCCAAAAAACTTTTGACCAATACGACAATTACAAAATCTTTTAAACAAACATATCAATCTATAATAAATAACCAATTAATAAATAACCAAAGTATAATAAATAACCAATAACTAAAAAGCATTTTGAACTAATAAAACATAACAAGTTTCATCATTTTTCTTCAACCAGAATTTCATTTGATTTAAATAATAAAATATAAAAATTCATTTTGAATTATTTTTCTGCAAAAAAAAAACTGTTAAGGTACAAATTTATTAAAAATTATGTAAAAATGTAACTATCATTATTTATTGTAAAATAGGCTAAAAAAAATTACAAAATTAATTTCACTGTTATAGATATATATATTTCAACTTAATCCATATTTAAAACTGCATTAAATTTTCAATTTATTCCCTGCTCACATTCTAAAAAAATCCTAAAAATAAGATTTTTAGATATGTCATTTCAAAAGTGTAATTAATTTTTTCTCACTTAATAACAATTGTAATTTTGCCTATGGAAACCTTAAAATAAATTTTAAGATTATAAAAAATCCAAACAATCTTATATTTTAATATTTTGAGACACATAAATTAATTATTCTCTAAAGAAAAAATCATTTGATTTAATTCAACGAATCATACTGATTAATATTTTCTCTCTTCATCCTTGGTAAAATATTTTTAAGAGTTTCAGTGACGAAATACAAATAAATCAGTATTTATTTACTAAACACAAGATATGACCCAGAAACTATTCAATTTAAATTATTTAAAAATTTATTAATATCACATAAACCACAACAGTTACAATGTGTAAAAATAAGTTATAAATAAATGTTAGATTTGTTAAAAAAATAAAGCATAATATAATGAAACCAAATATGTGCACATTTCACAATCAATAAGTTTAAAATAAAATATAAAATTGGTTCCCAACAACTCTTAATAGAAAGTAAATCATTTTTTTTATAAAGATAGTTCGTTAAGTAGAGGATAAACGGTGTGATTCCAATTTTCATCCCACTTTAAATTGGAACTCTTCATTAGATTCTTATGGAAAATATTTAAATCTGTTTTCTTCCTAGGGAAATCATTGAACAGGCACTAAATGTAGAGGAAGAAAAATTTTTAGTATGCAAACATATTTTGAAAGAATATAATAAAAATTAATATCAATTCAAAATTGATACCTGGAGTTGATTGCTTAATTGAATAGCACTAGTGAAAACTAAACCATTTTCTCCATTCTTAACAAGCTCATCAATGCTACAGAAACAAAGCAATAAACAATATAATAATTGAAAGGCTTAGGAAACATAATGATAAGTCATAATTTTTAAATGTTCAAGAGAGCATTTGATTAGAAAAACACCACGATCTTTATGTGTGTACAAGATGTTTCTGTGTATAATGTCTTAAGTGGAAATTACAAAACTAGTGAAGAACATTTGGGACCATTCAAATATTGCGTAAGCAAATTTTTGGGTAGTTTAGACACCTCTACCCATCTTGCCAGCAAAAATAAGCCAAGACCCCCCTTTTTTGCTTAAACTTCAAAGTATTAGACTTATTATAGTAATCCAATTTTAGAACTAATTTGAATAAAAATATGTAAATTTGCACAAAAATTTACGGCTTTATTCATTGTATAAAAGTTTTGTCAGAATGCTTTGCTTTCCTTCTGTTGTCAAAACTTTTACTTCTGAAATCCTATAAAGAAAACTCTTCTAACTTTTACTTTCCTTAAATTTAATTCCTAAAGTAAAATTTTTCTAATTATTACTCAGCATTTTAAAATTAATTTTGAAAAAAAAGGAGCAATGAAAAAATGTAAGCAATGCTGATATCCATCCCTTTGCCTTGTAAGCAAAAAAAGCAAAGTCATGCTTTTTGCTCAATGAAGTTTTGAAGCAGCTTGGAGTAATTTTAGGAAAAAATGACATTTTGGAGCAGAAGTTTTGCTTTGGAACAGTTTGGAGCTATTTTAGCAGCCGTTCCCACATTGTAAATTACTCTAAATAATAATGCATTACTAACAAATCAATACTACTTAAATTATTACCCAAGCAAACCAAACAAAATGAATCCAAATAAATACTTAACTTATAACTAATTTTTTAACACTACTATTAACTATTACTCTAGACAATATAACATAATGAATACTAATTATAGCATTGAAAATAGATAGAGAAATATTTGAGTTTATGCCACATAAGAAAAATACATAGATAAGATCATTTTCTTACCAATTAAATGAAACAGCACAGACAGGTAAGCAACATCCAAACATATCAACCACCTTCATAGGCAAATCTAGACCGCTAGAAGAACTATGTAAACTTATCCCCAAGTCAGCACATGCTGAAAATTACAACACATTAATTTTGTACACAATTGATGATGTTAATTTGAAAATACAAATCTATTTAAGTAAAAAGCTTAATTTAAAATGATAAAATTATAATTTAAATAAAATTATATTTAAGCTAGATAAAATAATTTTTTCCAAAATGGTAAAATTATTTTAATACAATAATTTTTAAAGTAATTTTAATGTTTGTTTTTCATCAATTTTTTTTAAATATAAAGTATAAACATAAAGCTAAATTTTAAGATTTTGCACAATCGTTATATAGCTACATTTTAGATTTTAAATTCAACCTTTACTTTTATCATAATTATATTCTTTAATTATAAATTTATCGAATAAAGTCAACTAAATAGAGTAAAGCAACAAACTTATTGTTGACAATAATAATATTAAAAGAAAAAAATAATCTAAGATGAACAACAAAAAAAAAGTTAAGATCATTGAAACAATATTGTAGGATGAATATTAAAATAAAAATAAAAAACATTCTATGTCAAGACATGAATGAATAAAAAAATTTTGTTTCAAATCTCCAAAATAAATTTAAAAAAAAACAACAACATTAGTTTATAAGCTTTTATACATACCAAGGAATGTAGGATAATCTTCAAACTTTAACCACAAAGTTATAACTTCAACCCGCAAAAAATTCTTATTTTTAATTTCCTTTTCATAATAACTTTTTAAGTGACCTTTACCTATAAAAAGGAATCATAGAATTTTAGTTAAGAATATTATAAACAATATAAAAAAAAATATAGATATATTTAAAAAATTATTGAACCACTTGAAAGTTTAAGTATTTCCTATAAAAATCTTTTTAAATTAGGATAATGAAGTTAAATAGCAAAAAAGAATTTCAGCAGAGCAATGCATAGTTTCTGTATTGAAACACACTCAAAAACTCAGATAATCAGTGAGGAAAAGAAAGAATAAAACTAAATTGGATGTATATAGTTGAAGGATCAAAAATAAAGGATAATTAAAATATAGTATTTAAATTATCCATATAAATAGGTTAATTATCAGAAAACGTCTATAAGTAATGGTATTTAAATTAGTTGTGTTGTGCTTATTAAATTGTCTTTAACTAAATAACAAAGATTGTATACTCTCATAGCAAGTAATTATAACTTTTGAATAACGCTTCTTTTATTAATGGTATCAAAAAATACTATTTACATTAAAATATAATAACATATTAAGAATCTTCAACTGTTCGAATATTACATAAGCATTAATTTACATAAGCTTTTTACTCCACCCTCTCTTGTCACAAAATGTAAGCAATATAGAAACCCTGCCTTGTCTATGTAAGAAAGTCACTCAACGCCTTGCTTTTTGCTTTAACTTAGACATATACTGTAAAAATCTAATTTAAGGATTAGATTTAAATAAAAGATGTCATTTGACATAAAACAAAACTTATGTTTTAATTTATTCTATAAAGTCACGAAACTCCAGGAAGAAGCTCTTTTTTCCAGCTGTTTCTTTTCCCAAATTTAACTTCTACTTCAGGTTTGGAAATCCTATTAGTTTTTATTTTTTTATTTTGAATTTTCAAATTTTTATTTATTTATTTACAGTTAAACCTCCAGAACAGACCAATGCAGCAACCACCTCTATTTACAGCCACCTTTGGGAGACACAGAATTTTTTCCATAGATTTCGTGGTGAAAAAAACCTTTAAGAGATATCATTAAAACCTCTCCCAGCGACCAGGAAGACATCTGCACCAAATGCAGAAAAGGTCAAATAAGAAAACACAAAAAATATCAAAACAAAAAATTTAACAAAACAAATAAGTAGATTAAAATGCATTTAAAATATTTGTGTGAGGCTCTTATTAAGAGAGCTCTTTTGGACGATAGAACCTCACTTTGCAGTCAGAGTGCACTAAAGACGATGCTAGCAATGATTTACTTACAGAGTTGCTAGTTAAATTAGAAAAAAAAAGGTATTTTAGAAAAAACAAGCATCTTAAATAAACAAAGCTGTTCTTATCTTTTAAATCTAATTAATTTTTATGATATAAAATTAAATGTAAACTTAAACAAAAAACATAATTGTTTATTTATTTATAAAACCTTTATCATTCATTATTGGTAAATTTGTCTTTACACAGAATTATATCAGTTGGGATCACTTTTATAGACACTAAATTTTATCCATTGATACGTCTTTTCATGATGCCAACAGAAATGGCGTTTCCGCAACAAGAAAAATGACACTGACTAAAATTAGAATCTTTGGCGAAAAGTCATGTACCTTTGATAACAATTTTGAAGTCAACGGAGGTAACCACTAAGAACGGCCAACCTGCATCAACGACCATTTTACTGTGGAATGGACAGTGGTGACCACTGTTCAATCCACAGTAAAATGGTAAATTCACAGTATCCTGAAAGGTTTTACTGTAATCATTTATATTTTGTTTGCATTTAATAGAAAAATATTTTAAAATAAGGGAATTTTATTGTCATAAAGAGTGCTCATATCCCTACGCTCTCTGGTTCAGTAAAAATAAGCAAATGACATGCCAGAACCTTCCTTAGGTGCTTACCTAATATATGAATTTTCTCAGAAACAAAACAAAAAATAACTTGTCCACATAAAATAAAAAATTTAATATTTACTAAAATATCACAACCAAACTTTTAAATTAATAAGAAAAAATTTCTTTTACTAATGTTTAAAAAGGCCAACTTTTATTTCAATGCAGAACTGTAAATGCATTACAAAATTTCTGCTAGGAGCCAAATAATCCATTAACATTTTATCTCATTCCTTAAACAAGGATAATTTTTAGACATGCCAAAACCTCATGAAGTTTAGCACAGACATACTTAGCAAGATAAACCAAAAGGAAAAATACATTGGATTCAAGACTGGTGAATAAGGTGGCCATACTCGTGCTGAAAGAGAGTATGGTAAATATGCATTGCCCCATTCATGAGTGATTTGAGCTGGACCAGAATTCTTGTTGGAAGGCTTTAGCGATTAAGGAGTGAGTGATATGTTGCAATAGTAATATATTTTACATTTAGGTCAGTCAATAATATCTAAGCTACTTTGCAATGCACCTAACAGCTATGTAACTTACTATTAGTTTTCCAACAAGACTTGAAAAAAAATTACATTAAATGAAAAGAATTCTAAATGAGCATGCAAAAAATAAAATCTTCAAGCAGTTTTAGGAAACAATACAGAAGTAAGGTCAAACTAAAAGAATAAGCAACTGATTAATAAAATAGAAAATTCTTTAATTAATGGAATTGTTCCTTTTCAAATTTCAAATTGTTTATTGTTCAGCGTTAAATATTTTTGTTCTTCCTCCTCCATTGTGGTAAAGTTTACTATAATAGCATGAATTAATTTTCAAATAAAATCATAAGTACTACACAGAAAAATAGAAAATTTCTTATATGAAAACCATTACACATAGCTAATAAATAAGAAGCTACAAACCAGTAATGGCAACAATCAAGTTTGGAAGGTCCTTTCTCCTGGTTGCTGCTTCTTCATAATCTTTAAAAAAAAAAAAATCAAGTATAAAAGATAAAAAAGTCAATTTTAACTAAATTATATAAAAATTATTTATTTCATACATACCATCTAATGCAGCAAGTAGAAGAGAAAAGTCTTCATCTTCTGATTATTTAGAGGAAGAAAAAAAAGATATTGTGGAAGCATTAGTTACTCCAATCAATAACAGAGGTATACAATACAAATACATCATATACTATACTATAGTTTAAAATAAGCTAATAACATTAAATGTTTATTCTGTTTAGTTAATCCTTTATAAAACTAAGACCAACAAGAATTAAATATCTGTTCAAACTTAAATTTAAATGCATTTGACAAAAATTAATAAGTGTAAAAGTGCCTTATAAACTGATAGAAACTTATTTTGAAAACCAAACATGATTCAACGTCTAATTCATGCAATTATTTTAGTAAGTAACCCTGAAAGTGACCAATATTGGACTTAAGATACTACATTTTTAAAGAAAAGCATTAAAAAAAAATAATAAAAATAAATTTAAAAGAAAGAATTTAAAAAAAAAAAAGAATTTTAAAGAAAATATCTCTTTTTTCCCCCAGAAAAAATACCTGTAATTAATAACTTTACTACGATAAAAATATGCTTAGAAAAATCACAGAGAATGATTTTAAATTATTTAACTTTGAATGTCTTCTATTTTTAAAAAAAGCTTATATTATTTTTCAAAATTAAAAATCTTTGAATGATTTCAGCTAATTCTTTAATGATTTGTCAGATTGCAAAATGTACCTTTTCCCAATAAAAATAATAATAATAATAAATAATTTAAATAAAATAAAATGATTACCAGTCCAACTAGTGCTACTAACTACCAATGCTGGTCGACTCGGAAGTAATTCACATTTATCTTCAATTAGTTTAGTAAAACGAGTTTCATTTTCAGCAGTTTCTAATCTATAAATGAATGTTAAATTAGATTTAAAAATTAAAGTGCAATAAAACTAAAATTAAAAATATCAACATTAGAACTAACAGTTCAGTGCCATTAATGGCCTAAATAACTAAATTAAACTCTGTCCAGCCCCAATTATTTTTCAACAGTAATATTTTAATAATAATGTAATATTTATAATTAATAGAAACACCAGAAAATGATTATTTAAAAATGTGACTCAGCATTTTCTCTTACTACACACTTTAGCGTATAAACACAGAAAAGCAAGACCAACTAACAATGTTCATTAAGTTGGCAGCTCCCTTGATTATATGAAAACTTAAAATTCAGTAAAAAATTACTTGGCATGTTACATAAGAAAATGTTTAATTGTTATAAAACCATGTATTAATAACTGAAAATGATAGAAATTAAATGCAAATAACATTTTGCAGGTCATTCATAAAAATTAATAGAAATGCTTTATACTCACTTTGATTTAAATTGAGGATATGTTTCACTCATTTTCTTAAAAAAATAATGTTTTTCTTCCACTGAAATAGGATGAAAGATGCTAGGTGGGCAATCATACAACACAGATGCTCTGGTAAAAAATATTGGAGACTATTATTTTGAGAAAAATTAAAACAATACGGAACAGCAAATTATAAATTAAATTAAAATTTTTAGTACATATTAAGATATAAAATTTACCTTGGTATAGATTAGTTACCGCTTTTGCTTATTTTGCATTAATTTAGAATCTAATCTGTAAACTTTTTAGCCCAAGAGTAACACTGACTCGTCCATTGAATTCCAAGAACTAGTCTGCAAATGCATTATATTTAGGAGAGCTTATGCTTATTTTTATTTATTTTTTTGATTTGGGGACTATTTTTAAATTTTTTGGGCATGTGGAACTTTACCTCGGATCAGGCATTTTCATCTTATGTATTCTCCCCCATTCTTTGTGAAATGTACTTTGGTCTCAGTTCTTCGCCCTTTTTTGCAAAGGCCATATGGAAACATTTACCCACTAGCTCGCCCACAAAGCCAACATTCTACAGTTTGAAATGGTGAGCAATATTTTGTTACAGAGCTGACAGCAAGTGAGATACCTCTGGTGCCAGGAGTACGTGAGTGCGCAAAATTCATTGCAAGTTTTTAACACAAATTTCATATCAATAATTACAATTATAATGTTTAATGGCATAATGCATATCTATTGTTGAATTTTTTTCTAGTTATTTTTTATTATTCACTCAAATTGTAAATCTAAAAATAAAATGGCTGCTCAGATAGATAATATGATAGGTCTGCCATTACCAACAAAATTTGGTCATGGTCTGCAAGACAAATATATAACACTGACCTAATACTTTAAAAAAAATTAAAAATCCAGAAATAAAAACAAGAGTAAAATATTATTATAAAATAATGACACAAAATAAACATTTTTTAAGTAAACAAAAATGTATTAGGTTTTCAAAATTCCAACCCAAAAAGAATATGACAAAAGTTCCAAACCTGCTAAAAAAAAAAAAAAAAANAAAAAAAAAAAAAAAAAAAAAAAAAAAAAAAAAAAAAAAAAAGGTTTTAAAAAACATAGACAACTAAAGAAAATGTTTTTTAGCCTGAAATAACATAAATATTAGATTTGAGGTTGAAAGTGCATCACAAAATATATAATAAACAATAGAGACTTTTGTTACAAATAAAAATTTTTTGTGCAGTAAATAGTTACCGAAACAAAGTTTATAATTTATTTATAAATCTTAAAATTTCTCACAAGAGAATGAAGTGAATGAGGAAGAATAATGGAAAATAGGATTCAGAAATATACCTAATGTTCCAATTTTCATTTAAATCATCTTTCATGGCTTTAGTGACGCATATGGACTTATTTGCTTTACGGCCAAAATACATTTCACACCTGGAAGCATATGGTAATTGTCATTCCTTAAAACTTACAATTCTATGAAAAATATAAATTCAGACAGAGCTATTTAATACAAGAGGTATAAAAACATAGCTAAATTCACAATAAGTTTAAAAAAGAAAAAAATTATAGTTAGTTTTTCTTATTTTTTATGTAAAAAATATTTTAAAAAATGTACACTTTTAATTGTTAATATTGATAGATAATTATGATCATCTATATAAAATTTAAAAAATAAATATACACAGGGAATGCACACATTTTGATAATTATTAATATTCTAGCTTTAATCATAATGATCTACTTAAAATTAAATCCCCATGGGGGAGAGGGGCACACCATGCTAACCATTAATACATTACTTTTTATAAATATTATTAGAATTTACAATTTCTACAAAGAAAATGTTTGCATAGTCATTAGATAAAAATATTTTTAAGTAATGATAAAGAATATACCACTTTGCGAATTTTACTAATTTACTCTTCTTTCCAGTAGAGAGGCTTAGTATGGTATATCCATAATTGTGAAAATCAACAAATAGAGAACAATATCTAAGCCAGGATATAAGCCAGCATACTGGTAATGTGGGAATCGATGGGGGATTCTGTAAGAAAACATGTGTTAATAAGTGAACAAAAAAATAATAAATCAAAATATTTTGCTTAAGAAATAAAGATGCTTTTGCAGTAGAATAATGTAAAAAAAAAAGAAATCTTACAAGATCTACCTACGGCAATGGAGAAAAGTAAAAATACAAAGTCCCCTTACTTTTGATAAGAATAAAAACAAAACTGCCAACGTACAGAGCGCAGGAAAAAAAAGGAGGAAAAAAAAAGAGACCATTCTGAATAATTTTTGATTCGAATTTTCACATTCTAGGACTCAATCAAAATGGTTCAAGGGTGTGACCACAAATATGCTAATTAATAAATGTAGACTATATTTTAAGTTACAAAATAAGACACAAAAACGCATTTTCTCTAAATATACATACCTTTTTTTCTCTTTTTTTTGACGAATTCAGATTTCAGACTTTCAAAATATTGGGGCAGCCGCAATCTGGGAAATATGCTCCAAATAGTTTGCTCAAGAAAGTGCTCCATACCCTTAATGTTAATTTTACTTTCAGCATATTTAGCTATATCTCGAGAACTTTTTAAGTAAATTGAAAATTTTTACACACAATTATAAAATTTACCAGTAAAACAGGCAAGAAATTAAAATTAACTATAATGGGTCTAAACTTTGGAGATCTTTACTGACCAAACTATTGGGACCATGTTTTCTAGATTGCAGCCACCCTCTATATTTTGGGGGACAGAAATTCATATCTGACAAAAAAAGACACATATTAATTCAGAGAAAATACATTTTTGTGTCTGATTTCATAACTTTAAAAATTGTTTACACTTATTAATTAGCTTATTTTAAGGCACCTCCTTGAGCCATTAAGATTGAGTCTTAGAAGGTGAAAATCCTATCATTAAATCAAACATTATTCAGGGTTGTCTACTTATCTTTTTCCGCACTCTGCATTCAAGAACTTTTTAAACAATATTATCTGTAGAAAAAGCTTTAACATTGGTAAAATGTACAGTAAAGAACTTTTTGAACAATAATATTTGTAAAAAAAAGCCTCAACGTTGAGAAAATTAAAAAAATATATAATACAGTCAGTACCGCCTATATGGTCACCCCGCTTATATGGTAAAGTCCCGTCTTCTTAGTAGGAAACACGTGTTAAAGCTCACCGCTTATATGGTCATCCTATTTCTCGAGTTACTGGTTATATGGTCAGTTTCCTTTTTTTTCTCTTTTGAAAAAAGATACATTTTAAGACATTTCCTTAGACAGGAAGACAAGAAAAATGACCAGAAGGTAAACAGATTCCTTCGAACCCCGGAGAGAACTGGAATTTCCCCCTCTATTTTGTCACCCTACCCTCTTTTCTCTTTTGCATTCATTAATGACCTTACCCTCTCCTCATTTGACCACTGGCATTCTTTTCCCCGCCCAAGGGCAAAAGGTCTTTTGATCATTTGAAAAGGAGTTAAAGTTGAGAGAAAAGAACATTTTTATTGGATTACTGAACGAATAACGTATCCATGCTTTCATTATGGCTTCGAAAAGAAAGAATTTAACAATATCNGTTATATGGTCAGTTTCCTTTTTTTTTCTTTTGAAAAAAGATACATTTTAAGACATTTCCTTAGACAGGAAGACAAGAAAAATGACCAGAAGGTAAACACATTCCTTCGACCCCCGGAGAGAACTGGAATTTCCCCCTCTATTTCGTCACCCTACCCTCTTTTCTCTTTTGCATTCATTACCTCTCCTCATTTGACCACTTACCCTCTCCTCATTTGACCTTACCCTCTCCTCATTTGACCACTGGCATTCTTTTCCCCGCCCAAGGGCAAAAGGTCTTTTGATCATTTGAAAAGGAGTTGAAGTTGAGAGAAAAGAACATTTTATTTGGATTACTGAACGAATAACGTATCCATGCTTTCATTATGGCTTCGAAAAGAAAGAATTTAACAATATCGGGAAAAAAATGAATTGGTTGAAAAGTTTAAAAAGTCAAACCTTTCAAAAGCTACTTTTGCCAAAGAAAATTCTATACCGCGAACAACTTTAAAAAACATTTTAGCAGCCAAACGTAGCTGCCCAGATGTTTCAATTAGCGACCGAGAAAGAAAACGTCAGTGAGTGTCACCTTATGCGAATGTGGAGAAGACTCTTCTGTCATGGATCAAATATGCACGATCACGAAATGCTCCTATATCATATCCTGGAATATTCTAAAAGAAAAACTTTAGAAATAGCTAAAGAACTAGGAGAATCAAATTTTGTTGCAAGCAATGGCTGGATACAGCGATTGAATGCAAGAAATAACCTATTCTTTAAGAAATTGTGCGGAGAAGCTGCTGATTTTGACAACAGTTCTTTAAAAGAATGGAAATACGTAGTGTTGCGAGATATTCATGAAAGATATGAACCTGCTAACGTGTTCAACGTCGATGAATGTGGACTTTTCTATAGGATCTTACCCGACAGAACCCTTTGCTTCAAAGGAGAAAACTGTATAAGGCGGAAAAAAAAGTAAGGTACGCTTAACAGTTTTGTTATCTGCAAACATGGATGGTTCGGAGAAAATGATTCCTTTGGTGATTGGAAAATTTCTGAAACCGAAATGCATGAAAAATTGTAAATCTTTGCCCCTTTTGTACGATGCCAATTCCAAAGCATGGATGACCCAAACGATCTGGGAAAAAACTCTCAGAAGGTGGGACCTACATTTTTCAAAGAAAAGCAGAAAAGTTGCATTGATTGCTGATAACTGCACTGCTCACTGTCCTGTTGAGGGCTTGAAATCGATTGAGCTGATATTTTTGCCTCCAAACAGCACATGTGTGTTGCAGCCTCTAGATCAAGGCATAATTTAAAGCTTCAAGTCTATGTACAGAAAGCTTCTTCTACGGGATATGATCACCGCCATAGACAGAAAAGAAGAATTTCACGTTTCAGTTTTGAACGCACTGTTCTATATTGACCAAAGCTGGAACATGGTGTCGTCGAAAACTATTGAAAATTTTTTCCATCGCGCCGGGTTCCACAGTTCTCCAGACTCTTCGGTATCATTAGAGGACCCTGAGGAAGATTTTCAATTGGCTGAATTGGCAGAAAATCTTCGAAACCGAGGCTATGCAATGCCGGACGTAAATTTGTATTCCCAAATAGACGTTGATTTCCTCACTAATTGTGAAGCAACTGTAGAAGGCATTGTACCTAATGTCTTAAATCTGAATGCTGAAAGAAGTGACGATGAGGATGATACTAAATGCAATAAAAAGTCTGTATCAACAGCTGATGCTCTTAAGGCTATAGATGACTTAAGGTGTTTTTTTTGCAAATTCAGATGCAGCAGATGAACATTTAAAAACTATCAGAGACTTAGAAAAAGGTGTTTTAACAACCAAGAAGAAGAAACAGTCAAGCTTATTGGAATATTTTTTTTGAACACGTACATATGCTAAGGTAAAGAATTAAATTTTTCTAAAAGTATAAAAATTATTTTTTCATTCTTTCCTATTATGCACCTCAATAATTAATTCTTAAACGTTTTTGAAAGTTGAATTATTTGTTTAAAAAATACATTGATTCCAGAATATATTCACGCCATATTAACTATACTACATATTTGGTTATCGCATATATGGTCACACCGCTTATATGGTCATAATATTCTGGACCCATGAGCTGACCATATAACCGATACTGACTGTATTGCAATATAATTCATTCAAAAATTGTAATCTTGTATACAGCAGCATTTATGTAATTAATAGGAATACACTTTCTATATGAGTAGGTTTTTTTTTTTAATTAACTGATTTATCAAACTGTTTGCAAACAAGTAACTAAATCATATGAAGCAAAAATATGAACATTTTGCAAATAAATTTAAAGAAATACTGTTTTATCACTATTTCACAATCTAAATTTAAGCTTTAATTTCAAATGTTATATTTTTAAATATGGAAGAATATATATTAATGTAAAAAATTAAATAAAGGGTTAAAAGCTTAATGGCCATAAAATTGTGTTTCACTTAATTTATGATTTAACATTCATTACAAAAATTAAAATAAAATTTTTAAATTTCCACACACATAAAAGTATAAAGTGAATTATTAAAATTAACTCTTACTTAAAAAGAAAATTATTTATTTTAGTAGAGAAAAAGTTAATAGAGATATTTTATTGATACATTTATATAAAATGATACCTGTCTTATCCTAACACTAATTTATCTATTACAAAAGAAATTCTTTATATAATAAGATTATTAAATTTAAATAAAGCTAAATAAAATACACATAAAATTACATACTTTTATTTAAATAAAGTAAAAACTTGTAATTTACTAACTGAAAAAATAATTTAAAAAATTATAAAAACAAAGTATTTTACTTGAAGTAAAATGCAGTTCATTTTTGAAAGGCAAAGTAAAGTCCAAAAAAGAAGTAAAGCTTGCCAAATAGTTTTTAAAATATATTGGATAATTTTGGGCGTCCCTGAAAAATAAAAAAATAATGTTGCATTAAAAAAAATATTTCAGCAAAATTAAATACAATATTAAACACAAAGCAACAATTAAAAATATTTAGAAATAGAAAATAATAAATAAAATTTTATTCTTAATGTTTACCAATCAGATATCAAATTTTTGCTCTGAGAATCAAATTTGATAGTATAAATATATTGGTTAAATAAATCTTAATATTAAAAAATACAGCTAATCTTTATAAAATATTTGCCTCTATTAAAACACTATATTTGAGAAAAGTAGACCAATATTTATCCTAAACAGGCTTTATGAATATTGGAGAACATATATTTAATTAAAAAATACAGTCAATGTATAACAGCTATATTTCTAATCTCTGGTTTAAAATTTCTATTTCATTCAATTTTTCTTTAGTGTTAGTATCACAAAATTATATGGCTAATCTAATAGATTTTAATGTTAGTAAGGATATATTGTAGCTCTTCCAATAAACTTGGGATGATTTCTGTATTGGTACTTACATCAAAATAATCCAAAATTAGGCAACTCTCAGTGAAAAACTTTAAAAATGAAACTTTATACAGAAGGAGACTAATTGGCAGAATTTCGCATATTATTACTTTTCAAATTCCTTTAGGTGCCTGAGCAATTGTAGTTAACACATACAATCATTTATATGGAAATATTTCTTTCAACTGGTAAACAAAACATCACATATCACAAATATAAATGCATAAAAATCAAAATTATTTAAAAACAAATAATAAATTTTAGCAGAAAATTCATAACACGGATATCTGAATTAAAAAAAAATCTATCCAATAATACAGAGAAGAATATTTTTCTAATGGAACCATCACTAAAATAAATGCTAAGTTTTGTAGACTTGATTAGAGCGGCTCACGGCAAAAATATTGAGAATATGTAAACTATTTGTAGTAACTCACATGCAAACCTTTAAATATATATGGATAGATATTACCTAATGTATGTAATGTATTTTTGCAAATTTAAAATCCTTTTAGCGCTTTAAACATTATAGTTGGCACAAGCAGGTATCAATACGAAAATATCTATATCGAACCGAAAATCACTTACTTCCTATAATGGCTGGAACCTCTTTCATATAATGAATCTGGATCCTCTCGTTTTCAAGCACCTGATTGAATGGACTGGAACCTTAAATGCGTAATCGATATTTAAGATAAATAAATTAAAAGATTTTCTTTATTAATATTACAAATGCCAGCTAAAATGATACCTTTATAAGCCACCACATCGACCAAGTAATTGTGTTTAGCTAAAGACAATGAATGATACTGCATTCTTGGACTTCGACCGAAATCTCCTAAAACTACCACACAAATGTGCTTTTTGTTTCCTCGATTAGAACTCATAATTAAAATAACAAGTATATAATTTCACTATAAATTAACTTTCACCTAAAAATAAAAAATGCGATAAATTTTTACAAGATGAGGGAATATATCTCGCTATGACATTTCTTTAAAACAATACATAACAATCATTTTTTTTTCCACTTTGCACTCAGTAAAGACATTCTGAAAATTGAATAAAATGTTTTCCGAGATTAACTCTCATTATAAATAGAAAATAAGTTCAAATTAAATCAACCATATCAGCATTAATACACGAAAGCATTTCAAAACTTCCAAATTTGTCACTTTCGGTAAACAGGCAGAAGTTTTTCACGGTTACGATCTACAACATAAAAATAATTTTTTCAAAATTACATATTGTTTAAGAGACTTTTAAATTAAGTAGAAATATTTCCAAGAACAGCATAATATTTTCATAATTCTGATCAGTTTTATACTGCATTTTGAATCAACATTTCGTTTTTAGAATTTTCTTAACATTTTTATAGATAAGCTGCAACTTTCACTTTGAATCTTTGTTATTGTTATTGTTGTTAAAGAAACCATGGCTTTTTTCAGATATTTGAATTTCGGTTTTCCTAAGATCTTAAACATAAAAAATGCTATAAATATTAATGAAATTCGTGTTTTAACAGTTACTGAACACATTTTAACACAAGAGCGATCCTTCAGAAAAGGCTATGGTCGTACATTGAGAGCTATGAAATTCAGACGTAAGTTAGCCGGTCCTGATCGTTTACGAAAAAGAAGTGAGTGGGACAATTGGAACTACAAAGCCGAACTGTACGCATTTAATCAAAGATTGCATGAAAATATAACTGAAGAAACTTTACGTTGTGCTTTCATTCATGAATCTTACATCAAGTCCGAAGAGGAAAGGCGGAAAGAGTTAGACATACCAACACAAGATGTGACTCTGGATCTAAGACCAAATACATCACTTATTGCCGATGGACGCGATATCACTAGTGATTTCTTGAAGAGATATCTTAGGCATTGTTTTCCACTTTTGCCTGAAGAAGGTGTACTGGCTCTACACAATCATCTGTTATCTGATGAAGTTTTGGCACACGTTTCATTCAACATTGGCACCAAAGACTTGGTTTTATGTTCAGAATATCCACCTGAAAATCATACTCTAGCAAGTTCATTATTAGCAATAGTTGGAAGTATAGCCAAAGATGATAGTAAAAGTAAGGCTGAAAAATTTGTTTTAGACTTAATATGCACACAACTTGTTGGAAAAGATGTATTTGACTTATGGGACTTAAAAGATCCTTGTGCTGTTTTGAATTCTATTTTAGTGAAGCATGGCATGAGTGAATACGAACCAAGACTCATATTTGAGTCAGGACGGAATACCATAATGGCTATCTATAATGTTGGCATATATTCCGATAAGAAGTTTTTAGGGCGTGCCCCAGGCGAAACATTGAATATAGCGGAAGAACTTGCTGTTTTTGATTGTCTAAGAAAGATTTTTCAAATAAGAGAATCTGAAAAGCCGATTTCACCAAAAAAATTATCTATGGATGTTATAATGAATGAGAAAATTGAAAATCCCTCTGTTGAAAACTGGTATTCAGAGTCTCTTAAGTTGAGCAAATGTTTTTAAAAAATAAGATTCAAACAAATATGTTCCAAAATAAAATTAATAAATTTAAAAAGGAATAAAAATGCTAATTATGTTTTTGTTATATCTGTGTTAACATTTAGGTTTTCTAGTTTATTCAATTTACTGAATCCCGTGTTAGACTAAACAAAATATTGGGACAGCTTAGGAACATTATGAATTGCTTAAATAGACCTCTAATGAAGTTCCACTGCTTTTTGAACAATGCTTTCATAAAATTATACACTCAGGAATGTGTAAATAAGGCACAAATTAAAAAAAAACTATTTCGGTTTTTTATATTTAATAAGAACCTACCTCAGTGTCTAAAGACATGATGATTGTAAGAAGTGACAAGGCAATCACATGCAAAATGGTTTAAATAGCAGGGAATGATGAATAATCTTGAACAAGATAATAAAGGAAAATATAGAATGATTTCTAGAAATCTAAATAAGTAGAGGAAGAATAATGCTGAAATATTTGAGAAGAAAACTCAAATCTGTGATTAGAATTCTAATTATGTTTAACAAAAGATTATTTTATATCCTAATTTTATGCATGTCTTTCATGTTGTTTAAGGGTATGTTTAATTTTTTCTAATAAACCAGCCGAGATGCAATTTTGATGAATATGCAAGTTGTTAATTAAGCAAGATGAAATTGACAGGAAATGTGATAAGTACCCCAGCTGTTGATATCATACATTTGGTGTTTAGACACTGAGAAAGGTTTTTATTTACAAAATGGAAACTGTAATGTATCTATTTCTGTATTTTATTTGTGCTTTATTCACTGCTTTGTTTTATTTATACACAACACAAAGTATATACCCTATCCACATTTAGATAAAAATGTACATTTTTGTAATTTTTTCCCTTTCTAATGCATTAATTACTATTTCTTTAGTCATTTGTTAATTTTTATTATAGAATAGTATGAATTTTGCATTGAATCTTGTAATTTTAAATATGTTCCAATAACAAATATTCATGTTGACTTTTGAAGAGATATAAAAAAATTTCTTTTGAGCAAAAGGTATTCACTCAATTTGAAACAAAAAAAAAGTAAAAAATACATTTAATAATACGATGCAGAACACTTGAAGATTTTAGCTGAAAATTATAAATTCCTATTTATCTTTATGAGGTATATTTATTTTCATATAATTATCTTATTTTTTTTCCAAAATTTATAACTACAAGCTGTGATGAAATCTTTTTATATATATAAAAAGAAAGATAAGATAAAACAAAGTTTTGAAAATTTTGAGGATATTATATTTCAATTTAAAGCTGATCGGCCTGTGTAGGGGGCAGGGAACTGCCCTTGCATCAGAAAGGTTTTGGGTTTGAATTCTGGGCAAGGCATGGATGTTCTTTCCTTCTCTGTACTATCTGTCCTCACTGTGGGAGCAACGTTGGCCCACCTAATATGGTGCCCCTGAAAGAGAGGCCATCAAAATCACCCTGTATGTGCCTGAATTGACGGATGTTAGCGCAGGTGGGCATTGGAGGGGAAAAAAAATTATTTCAGTTTAGATAAATTTTTTACATTTTTTTTCATTATTATTATTATTAAATTTTTTGGGGCATTTAAAAATTTTTAGGTCCTCAACATTCTATCTCTGGTGACTAAATCAAGTGCAGTGAAAATGGCATCAAAGGTTTTTTTAAATTTTTTTTCGTTTATAAATTCAAAAAAAAAAAANAAATAAAAAAAAAAAAAAAAACAGACACAAAATACTGAATTGTTCTCTGTGAATAAAGTTATTAAAAATTTTCACAATATTTTAATGGGAAATATATCCCTTTAATAATGGTTGAGTTAATGTGATTTTACATTAAAATCAATCTATTTCTCAAAAATATTATGAATTTTTTTTTGTCAAACTCAATCTTGTACATATCTTAACTTTTTTTTTTCTAATTCTAATTCTTTTTTTCATTCTAAGTTTATTTTCTTTAAGAGGCCTCTCGACCGAACTTATTTGTCAAAGTGTTGGAGACAGGAAAATTCTACATATGGTTTTAGTTCTCTTTATTTAATTTTCACGATTAAACTGATGGTCTTCTTCTGTATGTAATGTAAATGCGGGTTAGTTCAATCAAAAAGACCACCATGAAGGTAAACTTCTCCCAAAATTTGATCCAAGAGTTCCCTTGTCTTCAGAACTAGGTTCAAAATTACAAGGCTACGGAGTTGCCTTGTAACATTGGAAACTCAAAATTGGGTCAACTGTGCAACGATGTTTATAAAGTGAAATATAAAATTAACTGATGGTGGATATTTTACTCTTTTTGGCACTATATCTTGAATTGTTTAAAATGCTAGGCAGTCACTAATTATTAAGTTATAAAATTTAGTTCTTCTATAAATTTTTTCTGGCAAAATTATAGCAATACAATTCAGCATCCTGCAGTTTTTGAAAGTAAGGTAAATAGCATTCAATTACCTGTTTGCAGATTTTTGATAAGTATCTTTGCTTTTGTTCAAAGTTAAAAGAAATTTTACCCTCATCCTAATTGGTTATCATCAGTTTAAACTGTAATGAAATTAAATTTTTAAAAAATCTTATAACAGAAAAATATTTAAATTACTGACACAAAACCATAAATTGCATAGCTTCATTACTTTTAAGTTTTGAGGAAAAATCCATCGAAATTCTAAAAATTTTCAAGTGTTTTTTTTCTTATTATTAACTCCATTATTATCCATCTTTTTAAAGGTTTGTACTGTCAAATAATGTTACATCAAGTTTTTTAAGTGCAAAAAATATCCTAATACATGTGCATTAAAATTTTTAAAAAAAATCCAAGATGCTGAAGGTACTGGCTTCGTAAGTACAATAATGTGACCATCGGAATGAATCTAGTTCTCAAGATATCAATGACCTCTTTTTGTCAAACTCAATTTTGCACACAAAATATTTTAACTTTTTTCTTCAAGTTATTTTTTTTACATCATATTTAGATTAAACCCCTTAATAAAAATTTAAATTGCATTAACATAAATTATATGTATTTCAAGTCCCAGTCTTAATACTTTTTATAATTTTTAATGAAATTGTGATTCTTTTATCTTTGTCTAAAAAATATTCTAAATTTTCTTTGTTATTTTTGCTATTTGGAGTGCTAAAATGTTTCAATACAATCAATCATAAAAATATAAATTGTTGATGAAACATAAAAAAGAGCTTGCTAATTAAGGAAAAATGGAAACTGCTATTGCATTCTGCTATTGAGGAGGATATAGTATTGTCTAGTATTTTAGCTATTGAAAGACATTTCTCCAAATTTTAAAATAATTATTTATTGCATCAAACTTTGGATATATATTTTAAATCAGAATAGTTGTCTATTATAAAAGAAAGAGGTTCGTTGTAACGCGTTTTTTCTGCATTTTCTCCAGCGAAACATGTCTGTTCTTTACGATGGTTCATAGTTTTCACTCAAATTATAGGAAGGGGCCACAATCTGGTTCAAACTACAGAGGCGCTGGAGCGTCTTACTATTAATTTTGCTTTTTGCATCCATCTCCATATCTTTAGAACTATTTCAACAAATCAGAAAATTATAGTTCAGAATTTAAAAAAAAAAAATTTAAAAATGATTTTTAATATTTATTTGGGCCGGGATAACCTGGTTGATAGGGCATTAAGCCCATGTTTAAGAGTTTGTGCTTTCGATCTACGCCAGCAGAAGACTTCCCTTGTAGCTAATGGTGACTGGTGCACGTTAAATCTGTTGGATCACAGAGTCCTCCATGTTCCCATAGCGAATCATACCTCTGGGGGGTACGGAATTGGAGATTGATCGTTCGCTGGTTTGGGTCAAAATTAGCAATATGTTGATGAATAAATGGGTCCTCCTTATAAACGGGCTGTGACGTATGTGTGTGACAGAAGTCGAAATCTTGGCCATTGATGGCTCCTTTGAAAAATAAAATCAGCACACCCCCTTCGCCTTAATGGCATATGGCAACAACTATACGTATTTAATTTAATAATAACGAAAACATCTTTGAATTGTAAGGTTGTAATTGTTCTATAACAATATTTTACGAATTTACAATTACGTTTGAAATTTTTATAACATTCAAATTGAACTTTTTCATAATTTGTGAAGAATATGTTATCGATGTATGTCATCGAAACTGCAAGAAATTTTGCTCCCGACGATTTGTTGCTACGACGAGTTGTGAATTGTGTTTTTTTTATTATAACCGTTGTTGAACAGACGATCCAATTTTATGAGTTTACGACTACTAATGTTCATCTCCGTAGCCATGTAATTTTGAACCCAATCCAGAAGACAGGGGAACTCCTGGATCGAGTATTGGGAGAGATTTTGCTTTCGTGGAGAACTTTTTGATGGAGCTAACCTAACCCGCATTTGCGTTACATGGAGAGGAAGACCACGAGAACCTCCCACGGTTAACCTGACGCAAGGAGACTCTAACCCATGATCCGTCTACCGCGGAGGATATGTCACGTCGGTGCAGACCGGATGCGTAATTTGTATAGACTGGGATTCAGACCCGGCTCGCCTCATTGGAAGACGAACGCTCTATCCCCTGACGCATCGCGTCTTTGTGAGTTGTGTTTGTGACGACTTGTGCCCAGAACTAATAGTGATGAATTGTGCCCACGATAAAATGTCGCCCTGATGAATCGTCCTACTGCGAATTGTGCGCGGTAATATTGTGAAGACATTTTTACCATTATAATCTTTTGATTTCGTCGCGGCGAATTGTATCCAAAACGAATTGGCTTTACGACGAGTTGCGCCCACTAGGAGGAATTGTCACTTCGATAAATCATGCTCACGACAAATTGTCGCCATTATGAATTGGGTGCGAGGAATTGCGCAGAACCCTTCCCATTGACTGTAACAGGCATTTGCGAACTTTAATAGGTTCCCACTACCACAGGATGTTTTTCGAAAGCTCCATCGTCATATCAAATGATGCTTTTTGCGAATAATATGCTATTTTCATAACTGCTGTGAGTTTGAGACTGATACTCATGACCTATAGGTCAAGTTTGACCTATCTAACGCCAACGCTGTCTACGCTTATTTTAAAA